ACGGAGTGCCACCATTCATCATTTCCTGCCACAGGAAACATTTCTGCCAAGTTTTCATTTTAAAATGAAGCAAATTAATGAGTTTAAGACTGATGACTTCCGACACTTTGATGCTACTTTGATCAGAATTGGTTCGAGAATTTGATCGTCTATCGAGGCCTTTTGGATAAGAGAAGTTACAAGGATGTAAAATGGCGCAAGGTCCTGATTACTTTGTGGGGGAGGTGAGGCCAAAATATTCCAAAAATGTTCAATAGGAGTCAAAAAAAGCTCGGGTGAGTATCACGCCATGCTTGGTATTCGAATTCGTGTGCCTAAGGTGAATTCGCTCCCCTCAGACTTGCACCGTTACTCATTAGAGCTCAAATTTTCGCTCCAATTGAAAATTTTTAGAATTTTTTGGCCATGCTTCCCGCAAAATAGTGTGGATGTACTCGCTGTGAATTTTACCCTCTTGTTACTTACGGTTCCAGCAGCATTTTTAGTGGTTTTCCCCCTTGTAAAAGCTACAAATATGCTTCCTTTAAATTTTCATTTTTACTACTTCAAATAGCCCACAAGGGCTAATCCTGCGCTTTAGTCCCGTCCCCCCTCCGTCCCCCCTCCGTCCCTACCGAACAACCTACCAGTCCTTGGCAACCAATGCTGCCATGTTTGAGACCATCAAATTCAGGCAGGGCAGGGCACCTGACCGGGAATCGAACCCGACACCTCCCAATCACAGAGCTAGTGCTACAACCACTACACCACAGGAGGCCGACAATTGTCGGCGACGCTAGATTGAATTGCTAGTCAAATTTTACGGAAAATTCAAGGAAAAAATCTCACAATTTTGCTAGCAAATTCTTATTTCATCGAGCGATATTTGGCAACGACTAACACGGCAGTACGGGTGCGGAGCATCATCAAGGAACCGTACTACCGTGCTAATAAAGAACACCTTATAAACCTCTGGATATTGTCAAATTTCACACGCTGAAGTAAAAATTCTCTAGAAAACTTGAAAATTTTTTCCCCTATAATTTGTCAGAGTATTTTCCTCGCAATTTCGGCTGAAGTATGTGAAAGTTTCGCGGAGAAATATTCATAACTTTCCTCGAAAATAAATATTTTATCGGAGACAATCTGGCATTATTCAAATGTTTGTATGGCGTTCTGCAGAATGAGCCGAGACCGAAAGACACTTCCGCTCTCACTGGGGTGGATCCTAGGAGAAAGTGATCGTGGTGTGACAGATCGGGATCGATGCGGCAAAAAGGCGCCAACCCACATTCTTTAAAGAAAAATTGAGTTGCGGGTGATGGAATTCCGACGAGCATAAGGATGCGTCATTCATCTCAGCAAAAGAAGGAATATAGAAATTCTCTCCCTCGCTCTAAAATAAAAAACAAGCTGCTGGTTCCAACACTACTGTGTCGGAGAGCTCGCCTTTGTGAAACTATTAACATCTATTAATGTTGACGTATAACACCGATCAAAGCAACGTGCAAGAAACGATGATACTCAGTTCCGCATAGGGGGTGACGCCATCAACCCTCTCTCCGAGGTCAATATATATCGAGGTCTATATATATACCTATCGGTATACCTACTGGACACAAAGACTAAGGTAGATGAGTAAAATGACATACCATCAATTTTATTAGATTTGGTATATTAAGATTTTTATTTTTGATATCTTATTTTATTCTATTTATTTTTTATTAAAATTTTAAGTTAGGTTAAAACTAATAATCTTCAAAATTATAATTAAATCTGCTAGTTTAAATTTTAATAAAAAGAACAAACTTATAATTAAATTTACAATTTAACCCTTTTATCAGGCACTTTATTTATTAAGATATATGTTAACCAATTCTAAAATTGCACTTCCGTGTTATTGATTTCACTATTTAACTATTAAGCAATGTAACTATTTTTTTTTCTACTTTTTAAACACCCTCTATCAAGGCAGGATTTGGTGAAAGGCGGAACTGAACCATCACGAATAAGACAAACGCAAACAAACACATTTTGGCAATAAAGCGAGGGAAAGGATGAGCGTTAACGAAGGCGCAGAGATACAACTATTCGTACTTGATGGACGTCCGCGCTGCTGCTAAAAAATTGAAGGCGCGATGACGCGAAGCGTGAGCTCTCAATGCTCTGCTATGTGCTGTCAATGAGGTGTCGCTCGGATTCGGGAGAAAAGTTAAAAAAGAGGCCCGAACACAACTCTCCTACCTTTGGCTGTGTTGCTCACGTAGTGCTTGAGGCACCATTCATTACGAACAAGACAAACGGAAACAAGCACAATGTGGAAATAGAGGAAGAGAAAGGATGCGCGTTCACGACGGCGCAGGGATACAACTATTCGTACTTGATGGACGTCCTTTCGTCCTTGCTGCATCCGAAAAATTGAAGGCGCGATGACGCGAAGCGTGAGCTCTCAATGCTCTGCTATATGCTGCTGTCAATGAGGTGTCACTCAGATTCGGGAGAAAAGTTAAAAAAGAGGCCCGAATACGTCTTTCCTGTCTTCAGCCGTGTTGATACTCGTTCTCTCTTCTTTTTTCAGGTTCTTTCCCGATTCTTTTTTAGGATGGATTTGCGGACCCACGTCTTAAGCTCGTATAAACCGCAACACTGGCTCGGTTCTTTTGGAAATAATGGTGCTCGGATGCGTCTAATGGTTTTAATTTTTTATGTTTTTTTCTTTTGTTTTTTTTTTTATTATTATTTAATTTCAGAGGTCTGTCGGTTACTTCAATACGGTCAATTTTGCAATTTTTACTCTGTACGATGCATAAACTTTGAACCTGAAAATAGCGTAAAAATGTGCTGCTTTGCCAAAATTTTCTGAGCCCCTCTCCACGTAGGGGATGCCCTCCCAGATTTTATCACACTACGCCTCTTTAACCAACCAAGGGTCTACGCCCTCAGATGCGAGCCAGTCCGACCCTGACTTAAATCTCCAAGGGGTATAGGGATAGGGGTAGGTGGATCTCCAAAATATTTTGACAAAACGTCACAAGAGGGGGGGGGGGCAAGCCCAGCGTTACTTGAGTATGGTATAGGTACTGGATGTCAATTTCTTCATTTTTTCTTTGTTCCTCATTTTTTTAAAGTTTTATAGGTATGCTGGTTTTGTTCGTCTGGTTCTTTCTAGTTTCTTGAAAGACAACGCCTAATGAACAGAAACTATTCCTTGCCTCCTTTCTCAATAAGGAAATGAGAAACTTTATCTAAAAATTCCCGGTTAAATAAACCGATTAAACGTTGTTTGAAGAATCCGACTTTAAAATATCTCCAAAAACCGCATTTCGAGTTTTGTTTTGTCGGGTCAAAAGGTATGATAGAACCGGGCGTGAAATTCGGAAAGTACCTAAGGATAATAGGGCAGGGCGCTGCGTTTACTCGTGTTGGACACATTTTTTTGCGAAAGCTCTGTCAACACTACTAGCAAAAGTTCACGGAACTTGGTGCGAAAGTTAAGTTCCGTAGGTAAACCTATCTCAGCGTGGACAAGGCTTTCCATTTATATGAAATGAACGAATCTCGTATTATGAAAGGACAAACATCAATGTAGTTTAATAATCTTCACTTTCGCCGCCGCCGTGCCGCGCTGACCGCACTGACGTTTGACGCAATGCGTGAAGTATTCATGCAGTCTTGTAGGCGCTATGTGTTTCACGCCGACCGCTGCTCACCACATTGTGCTTGACGCAATACGTGAAGCATTCATGCAGTCTTGTAGGCGCTATTCGTTTCACGTCGGCGGCATCTGACCGCACTATCTTTGACGCAACGCGTGAAGTATTCATGTAGTCTTGTAGGCGTTAATATGTGTTACATGCCGGCCGCCGCGCCGTGCCGCGGGTTTCTCCTTTTCATCTGCGCCGTTCTAGGCCAAATTCCGTGTTCGGTTTCTTTCTTAGTCTTGACTCGACTAATTAAAGGTGCCGTCTACTGTATACCAGAAAGACGACAATATTAGAGATATACTCTCAGGAAATGAGAGATTTTGTCACCTCTTCTCGTTAGTAATTCTTTTTCTGAATCCGATTTTTCTTTATAGCTGCATTTAAAAAATTGCAAAATTGGCCACTCTCTAAACTGACCCTTAAGCAGGTTACCTTCTTAAATGATAATCTTAATACTTCTAATAAAAAAGGTAAATTTCCTTCTCCCAGTGTACGAGTCGCCTTCCAATACAAGCGTATGCTACATCGATTACTCCTCTTGTCCGCATTATATCATTCGTTACTTGGCTGACATCGCTGCCGTGCTATAAGGGAGAACGCCTTATGATCCTTCGTGCGTTGCCAAATTTCTTTCCGTAAAATGCGATTTTTATTAAAAACTCATGAAAATTTTCCGTTCACTTTTCCAGATATTTCTTTCATAGTGTGATCTATGGTATCAGAAACATTCGAGTAGGAATATTCATAATTTGTCTCAAAAATTAATATTTAAGGGGGGGAAATTTTGCAACTCTCGGATGTTCATTCGATGTTTTCCCTAAGCATGGCAGATCTGACGTGCACCTACCTGCACCTGCCACTTCCTCAAGTAGACCTATGGCCTGAGGCTACCTTACTCACCTCGACTGTAGCCTTTGGTAGAGAGATTCTGTCGTGCTAAGGAAGATTGCCGTTTGAACATTCGAGAGTTGCCAAATTTCCTTTCATAAAATGTTCATTTTTGAGGAGAGTTATGATATTTTTCCTTGAAATTAACAGGAATTGTAGGTGAAATTGCGAGCAAAATCATCTGAAAAATTGGAAGGAAAATATTCATAAAGTTACCAGGCATGTCTTTTTTTATCAAAAGACATTTGGCAGCGCTTGAAGGTTCAATGAAATTTGACGAGTTTTTAATGGCGTGGGATTTAAGCAAAAATTAAAGGTCCGTACGGTTCCTTTTGCTTTGAGCTTAAAATAACTTTTTCAAAGCTTTTACACCAAGACTTAGAGACAGGAAAAGGATACTTCTTAAAGGACACTCAAATTAAAAAGATAAACAATTAGTATTTTTTTTATTATGATACAAAATTACATTGAGAAAGAGCCATTTAATTGCAACCTGAGAACATTTACAAAATATATTATTTACATTTAAATTACACATATGATACAAATGATTTAAGTATAAAATTTGCTGAAGCTTTTTAGTAAGTAGGGAAGAAGTTGATTAGGAGTTGCTAGTTAAACTAGCCATGAGCAGTTCCATTTTGTTCAGGAAATTTTTCCCTTCCATTTTGTCCCAACGAACCTCTTTGAAAGGCCCACCTAAGTTTTCCCATTTGCGCTCTTTGACTAGCTGTCCACTGAAGAAATCTTTTCGCGGCGAGTGAGCAATGAAAACTTGAGGTCCCGCTTGTGGTGCACAACGAATGGCAATAATCCTAGAAAACAACCAAATCAAAAGTATGAGTCTTATCCATTCATTTTAAAACCCTATTTCTAAGAAGAGAACTGTTGACACTGGTAGATATATCGATGAAATTTCTGCCATTTAACAGTGGAAGAGATGAATGCACTTGACAGTTTGCCTTTCACTGCGTAAAATAATATGCAATTGCCCTTCTGTATTGGAAGACCACTTCAATAATTAGCCAACTCAATCACTGACACAGCCAATTTTAGTCTTCAATGAACTGACGTTGTATTAGATAGATACCGTTTTTTAGCCCAACATTTCGGAACAGTGAGGATATTAGTTTTTTCACTTTTAGACAAGGTACCTTGGGGCTGCATTTTGGAAAAAATCCTTGCAACCGCTACTTGAACCACTTCTTTAATGGCTATATTTAAAAGCGGCTTTTTATTGAGGTCATACACTGCTATATACCTATTCCGTTTTTGCAGATGAAGAGAGAATGATAAATTACCTGTCACCCATTGGAGAGGCTAGGATGCAAGAACTGGCGTTGCCTAGGGGTTCGACAGGTCCAATTCCTAAATGGGGGCTGTTCGCAAGGTGCTGCCATCCCATACACCTTCCAAGAGCTTGTACAGAATTTATTTGGTGTTGATGAATCTGTGGAAGTATAAATGAAATGAAACACAAATAGAACTAAGTGAAAAAAAAAAAAAAAAAAAAAAAAAAAAAAAAAAAAAAAAAAAAAAAAAAAAAAAAAAAACAGGAGGACATACAGAAAATTCCCAAAGCCAAAATTGTTTAGCCCAGTGTAGCTCAGGAAAAGAATAAGTTGAGCTCATTCGAACAGGGGCAATGACAGCTCTACAATCAAATTAAAATATCCTCATGAAAAAAAGTAGACTATACTCAACCATTCAAAAAAGGTGACATTCTATGCAAGTATATTTGGCAAATGATTTAAATTTTTGTTCCATTTTTTCCTCAAAACGATTTCATTCAGAGTTCAAAATAGTTTCATTTTTGACATAATTACTCAACAAAAACTAGAAAGCTGACTGTAATTATAAGCAAGTGGATTTATATCAATGAAACAATGTTAATTAGACCATATAAACATCCCGGTTACTAGACATACCTGGCAGAAAATCAGGTCCCGCAACTCTTGTGGCTCGTAGGATAAATGCATCACTTTCCCATCTCTGCAAACACACTTCATGGATTTTTGACCGACATGAACAATAAGAGAGGATTTGCCAATGACTTCATATCCATGAGTGATGATGGTGATTTTCACACAAGACTGGGTTGGAGAATTTAACGCATTCCAGTGCGAGACAATGAGAGGGTCTTTTACCTCTTTCGCAATTGTATCTAATACATATTCTGCTCGCAGTCTCATGAAGAAATGTTGAGTCTGCTCGATCATTTCTTCAAGCATGGTTTTACTGTGAACATTTCCAAAAATCATCGAAATCAATTCAATAAATTTATTTCGGCTATTTTCAAAACATTTCATTGAGACATGAAATGTTTTATCATCAAAACATACGAATAATAAACCTAACAACTACGATCAAGTTAATTTTTTATTTAATTCATTTCTTATCAGCAGTAAATGAATTGATATTAGATATTTCTTCTAATAGATTAATATACGAAGCACCTATTATGTTGGAAAGAGTTATTTTTAGGCTTTTCCGATACATCCAACCACTCCTCTCTTGAAAAGGAGAGCAGATATCGATTGTGAAACCGGGAAACCTAGGTGCCTCATTACGACGATTCAAAATTTCCACTTTTACTTCCTTTCCTTTATTCAATAAAAAATGACATAAGCTTATGGATATTTTTGCATTAATAATAAGTATTTGAAGAGGATACACGGATGAAGAAAACAGAATTATTCAAAATTTCACGAATAAGAAGTGGCTGGTTCTTTCACTGAAGAAAAATATGAAAGGAAATTTGCAATAAGGCAATCTAAGCTGCATTTTTTTTTTAAAATTTACAATAAATGCATTGATATTATCTTAGCAAGAATCTTTAGGAACCGTAATATATCAAAACTAAGCTCTCAAGTGCTAACCTTTTGGTCATCTCTAACAGCTGGTACCGGTCCGCAGCAGTTGGTCCTGCCAATGCTCTCTTCTTGCTGGGTCCCAGGGGCCCACTGGAGGGATGCGGGAACGGATGATGAGTATTTTTGTGGTGCACCTCTCTAAGAAGTTGATGAAGAGAATGTTCCAGCACATGATCATGATCACCTTTTGGCGGAGGAGGGGCGATTCCTCTTTTAGATTCTCCACCGCCTCCACTATGACACAATCCGATGATCAGCTGAATTCCCGGAAGGACCTTGGAAACGAAGAGAAGTCTGTCAACAAAGATCCAGAGGACTTGCCACCTAGTGTCCTAACTTTGCTGAAGACGATATTGATGGCAAATGCGAAGAACATGTAACTCGATTGTAACACTTAGAAATCTCTGTTTGATATTCTTCAAGGAAAACTAATCACAATGTTACTTCGCAATTTTTTGTGATTTTCTTTTAGTGAGAGATAAATTTTCAGCAATTACGATGGAAACTGTTGATTAGTTGTTTTTTAAAGAAAAGAAACATAAGCGGAGACTTACAATGTCCCAGTCTGAAGTAAAGTTTTTGGTCTAGAGATTACTAAGAAGTTAGGTCGAAACCCTGTCCACCACCCTGGCTCTATTTTGCTTCTCAAACTAAGTTAAGTTGGAGTTGGTCAGAATCAATTCCCTGGGAATTTTTTTGTCATCAGGTGGGAACTTCACGGAAAAACTTTGCTACTGCTTGTTTTTTTTCATCCTTTCCCTTGTAGGTCAGCACAATGGCTGTGCGTTGTCCTTCAGGTAGTGTGTTCTGGTGATAACTGAAAAGATATTCACAAAACCAAGTTAGGTAAACTTACAGTGGCCATGATTTGATTTCCAACAACCATATGTGGAATGGGACCCTGGAGTTGAACGGCTTCTTTGGCTAATTGATTAAAAAGTTCTTTACAGAACAATACATTCTGAGCTGCTTCAAGTTTTTGCTGCCAATGAACATCTGGATTTGCACTTGGTGCAGACGAGCCCAGAAGATTAGCAGATACACTTAAATCTTCTTGATCTGTAATTTTGAAATTTATCAAGATAATTACAATCAGATTAGGTCTTATGTATGTGGATTAAGTTACGTCATTCTGCTCATAAAGGAAATGCTATTTGTCCAAAGATTCTTATTCCTCCTTCCTTTAGCCTTAAATGATGCTTGACTCATTGACAAAATGCTTTGAGCAAAATATTTTCCTACACATAATAAAATAACAGCTTGATCCGGGGAAAAGCTGCAATAAAATACAAGAGATTTAAAAAACCCGCAGTGTTTAGAAATAATTATGATCTCATTTTCAGCTGGAGAAAAAGCAAACAATGGATCGCCAATTCATTGTTATTGTGAGACTGAAACTCAAGTCTATGAGTCTGTCAAAAGAGTCTTGGTCTCTAAATAACATCAAATCGACGACTCATTTTTCGCCTTTTCTCAGGTTGAAAATGAGATTGTAATTATTTCGAAACGCCTCAGTTTTTTTGTCTCTCGTTTTTTATTGCAGCCTTTCTTTGGACTAAGTCATTATTTTATTATATTTCTTAGCTCATTAATTTGTTCTTTAATTTTCTAAACTTCAAGGCCTTTTGATGCAGACCAATTGAAGAAAAAAAGCATGAGATAAAAGTTTCGGACTGAATGTTTTATAGGTTTCAAGGTGCTCCTCCCCTCCAGTGAGAGAGAGAAAAAACCAAACACCTATATATAAGATAACCAAACTGTTGCCATGACTGGGTTTGTGCGCTTCACATTGTTGAGACATCATCGATTTTTTGGCAAATGTGCGGTAGAGTTCACTTGGAAACTGAAATTCTCATTATGGAGGGAAAAAACTCATGTGAGCAAAAGTTCTGGTGCAACACTAGTTGTCACCAATCAGAAAGGCTGCAGCAGACGAATTTCGGTTCTACTCAGACAGGCTATCAGTGAAGCATAGCCCACTAATTTCCTGTTTCCAAGCTTGGACAGGTTGTGAAAACCAGTCCAAGATTCGGGTTTGTGGCCACGACAACAAGCGCACCTACTGCCATCTACTAAGCGAATTATTCAAACAGCGTTAAAAGTTGTAACTACAACTGCAAAAAACAGCGTACCTCTTTGTGGGCAATTCAGCTTGCATGATTTTTTCCTCTCTAAAATGAGAATTTCAGTTTTTCCGCTTGAACTGAATTCTAGCACAATTGGGCCAAAAAACTAACGGTGTCTAACCAAAATACTCTTCCCATGAGATACTCACCCAACAGGAAATATTTCACCAACTTACGAGGAGTGATAATGGCATTAAAGAGAATGATTATGAAAAAACATGATTGTTGGTGGGTCTGGGACACTCAATCAATGATGTATCATTAAAGTGAAGAGTTGTGAAGTTCATTCATGCTAGGAGAGGAGTGATTTTCTGTGAGGAAGGAGACTTCAAAGCAAGTATATCACTATATAGTGTTTGGAGATTAAAACACATGAAAGTAACTAAATTTGTGATTACCTTTTCGACATAATACCATAATATATGCCACTCCCTGTAATTCTGATGGAACTGTGACTCTGAGGGCTGAAGGTGGTTTTGGTGGCATTGGTGGCCCAAGTCCAGGTGATGGAGGAGGACTGGAGGCTTGCGATGTTGAGGCATCATCTTCTGCTTTTGTTACTTCAAACATACCCATCTGAGAAAATTTTGATCCCGCTGAAAATGAATACATAGAAATGAAATTATGATTACCTAATTTCATAAATTTTGTTTCGCAAAAACTGCAGTCAAATGATAGGGAGATGGATAGTGTTTTTCTTTTAGATGTTTCCACAGTCCTGGGAAAAATATTCTGAATTTTCTAAACTATCAGGTTTGAGAAACTGATTGAAAATTGAAGCGATACTTGAGCCTTTAAATTTAAGTTGAAAATTTAAGAGAAAAGATTGAGGCCTTCCAAATTTTTTCTACCTTTCTAAATTTTAATTGCAATTAAAGACCCTATGTTCCTATATTTTTTGGGTTTTTGGAAGAGACATGATAATGCTTTGTTCACTGATGAGGAGCTCCACACATATAGTTTTGAGAAGACAAAGGGAAGAGCAAACTGAATGGGAGGTACAGAAAATTAGTCTCGTCAGTTCTCGTAAGTTCTCATGATGATGATTCATCTGTTTGATTGCCGCCAATTCTTTTGTTAGATCATTGAATTTTGATTGGGTGAAGAATCGGAGATCTGAAGTCTAGAAGAAGAACCTAATCGTATAAATCCGCCATAAAAAAGAAAATGAAAAAAATGATTAGTACTGACCAGTTCTGTAACTAAGATCTCCAATTATAGCATTGGAAACTTTCTTCAATCGCCAATTTTGTCTCAGTCGTAATAACTCTATGTGGAAATCTGGGGTTGTCCTGTTACGAGCCATTTCTGTTTGAGAGGTTCTCAATCTTTCAGCGGCACTGAGTAAGACGGACGCTGCTCCTGATAAAGCCTGGAACCATGACAAATAATCACAAATTAAAAACCACTGCCTTAGGATTAGATATACCTTGGCTCTGGAGCTTCTGAAACAGTATCAGAGCTGAGCATCAAAAAAATTATTTCTCGGAAATGAAAAATTTAAATGTTCCAGTTAAGAATTATTAGCTTTTCAATTAAATTAAAAAATTAAAGTGCTCAAATGACATTAGATAATGTCAAGTCATCTGAGAAAACCAAAGAGTGAAGTTGAGTATTTTAATCTTTCAACAGATAATTTTTAAATGTGTTGGACGTTATTGGTGCTCAGACGCCGAAAAACAATACAAAAGACCAGATTTATGAAAAGGGACCTTACCTTTCAGAGGAAAATTTTCCTTGACTTTTGGTAAACATTTAAACTATTTTTCAACAACATAAGAAATTCTTTTGAGGAACTTCAGGATTTTTAAGTGAAAAAGAGATGCATAAATGTTACATGGATATTGACAGGCCAACTATTAAAATATTGTGTTCGTCAACCAAACAAGACAAAACTTAGGTGGAATAGAGTTATATGATTGTTCGATTCCCTTGTTCGTGCTCGTCTACCACACTTTTGTTTACCTACATTGAGATAGAATTGATAAACTACAGGCATCACCTTGGTGACTGATGAACAGTTGATTATTCAGCCCGATAAAGGTACAAAAAATGCCATAGACGAGCCTTGAGGAGTTACTCGACCGATCATAGGATTTCATTCTACCTCAATTTTGTCTTTTCTAGTCGACATAATTACAAAGTTTCAATCGTCCACCAGATACCTTTAATTTGACCTAGTTGTGCAAATACCATGAATATTATCGGCAAACGCACAGAAAAAGGGTAAACTTATCGGAATAGGGATACCTACATCTTTTTTATGTGCCTTTGTTGTCAAAATTAAAATGAAACCTTACTTTTTTCCTTGCATAGATTTGAGCCATTGGTTTCTGTTCTGGAACTTCTTGAGGTACTGGATCCAGGACCATATAGCGTTTTTCTTTGGCGATGGTCAACACATCTTGTAAAACACACAACTCTGTAAGTGAATTCCTGATTCAGGAAAAAAAGAAAAAAAAATTACAGGGAAACTTATAACATCAAAACTAAAGTTAAAGACGTAAAAAGCCGCAGACCCTGCAAGCTGTTATTTAATCATAGAGAATTAAAAATTAATTGATGTGAAATGAAAATGTAGCCCCCCATATTCTGCACTTTTTGCTGTTAGTTATAATTGTAAAGTACCCATTTTGTATCATTGAAAAAACTGAATACAAATTGTATCTACATCTATCTTTGATCAATGAAGTGTAGATAAAACCAAATGTTTGAATGAGAAGTGAACAGAGAACTTTCTGCACCCCTGCATAGTTTCCGAATTTAAACATTCATACTTACTTATGTAAAATGAGAAAAAGTTGTCTTTCACTAGAAGCTTAGAAGTAGGTACGAATAAATTCATTGCTTTACTGCATCTCGACTAAAAATAAACATTTTCCCTTAGGAGCAATAATGGATTAATTAATTCCTGGCTCAGAACAGTGCAAGCCTTACCTTAATTTACTTCTCACAGAGTCCCAGAGACATTGAGGAGCTTGAAAAGCGGCAGAATCTTTAGACTGTGCATCGTCATCAGGTTTGTCTGTTTCCATTGGTTCACTTTTGAAGGTGTCAGGACTAACACGAGCAAAATCAATTTTTTGCGCCATTTTCGCCAGATTCTCTGACATTGAGAGAGGCCTGAGAAGTTGGAATGGAAAGTTGGGTTAGAGGGATACAGATGTAACAGTGAGGATGGAATGAAAAGCAAAACTCCTTCTGATGGAGTGTATACCGAGTAAAGTGGCCATTCAAGAAACAAAAAGTATCTGGCACCTAGATTTATACATCCAGTTTCAATGAAAAGTTAAAACAACAGAACATCTGTCACTGAGAAGAAACTTGGCGACTGATGTGGCGTAAAATCTGCAGGCTGCCTGATGAGGCGTACGTTTCATATTGATGTTGAAAGAAGGCAGAAGTTCTGATTCCTTCCCGTGAACATATGCAAAAGAGAAAATAAGAGCAAATCAGGATCACTCCTGTTCTTGGAACTTTCGCAAAAAAGTCAATTGATAGGTACAACACAGGTAGCCCCGGGAATACGTATCTACAGTTGCGTAGTCTGAATCGGCTGTGGGCAGTCATTTCTCATCCAGTAGATTCGAGTCATACGAATAGTAAGAAATGACAATAGTTCCAATTAATTTAATGATGCCATGTCAGTACTTACGCCTGGTATATTTCTTGTCCATCGTAGGTGATTTCTTGAATTTGGCTTTCAATTGGGGCCTCCACAGAAATATTAACACTATAGGCCATTTTTATGCTCCAGAATTATTATTAGGGCGGCAAGAAGAATAATTTAACGAACGAAGCCAACCGGCACAAACCACACAAACATTATTCTACTTTGAAGGTTCAGCCATTATCAATGAATGTTGTTGTTAGTAGGTTGTTAGCGTTGAATGATGAAAAATAACTTTGAGCTTTCTTTTGCCAAGTTGTGCAAGATGTGTATTTATTAAAACTTAGATCTGTAGCTTTTTGCCCTTAAAATGAAAATCGATTCGTATTTTATCATTTCTCATGTCTAGTATTTCGAGAGATGTTAATCCTTCACGCCCTGCGGGGTGAAATACATTTTTAACTCCAAGCGAGTTTTTAATTTGTATTCTTTGAAATGTGTCAACGGCGCTTTGTATCTAAACAAAACGCTTTTCAGGTTAGGTTATTTTGTACTTTTCACTGCTCTTCGTGGTTCTTTCATAGACTTATTTCTCTGCTTAATATGTTATTAGTTTAAAAATTTGTCCTTGTTCGCGTAATTATTCCTCCAGAAGTTTTTGTATCTTAAATCATGGCTTTTAGCTTTGCAGCGCTAACATATATTATAGCTTTAATCATAGATGCGTTCCTAATTTTCTTCGCCATATTTCATGTAAGTGCTCATCGGTTTCTGTCTTGCTTGTTTCTTTTCATGTATTTAATGTCCTCTAGATTTAAAGTTTTGAATAATCCGAGCATTTTCTGCCTCTATTTTCATCCATTTTAAATAGGTTTCTCCTCCTTTACCAACCGATCAAGTTTTTTCAATGGAGACTGAAAGACCGTAGTCATGTTTATTCAGCAGCCAAATCCGAGCTCTGCCTAGTCATAAATACTTAATGAGTCACCTTTCTCGTCGTTAGAATTACATTCTGCAAGAATTCTGAAACAAAGCTACCCACCTGAAAACGTTAATGTCAGTGAGACTTGAAGGCAAAGCAGCCTAGCCAAGAGCGCTGACCGCCAAGCCAGTTGAATTAAGCAGTTTAAGGTGGCTTCAGATGTCAATTCAAACATATCTAAAATGAACTGGGGGTGAAGCCTGGGTGTTATATATTTTTATTGAGCGAATACAGCCCTATTTTAGCACCCCTTGAAAGTGACTACATTTTCGTTTACTTATTGCTGCTGAGAAGGCAAGTGCTCTCTAATCTTTTGCTGGTTTCCCTCCAGTCTTTTTTTTGATCCGTGGAACAGTTCTCTTAATTGATGAAGGCAAAATGTGGGATTCCTTAAAATGCTCTAACAGCAGTTTGGGTGTCACTGACTCCCGTCTAGTCCAGGGTAGTTCAGGGAGGTAGAGATGCAGTAAATTCACGATCATGAGTCTGTTGGGAGGCGTGAAACTATGGAAATTTTGAGGTCTTAAGTCAAAAATAAAACGAAAAAGAAAAGAAGAAGGTCCTCTTTTTGAAAGTGGAGGAAACTATTGTAAGTTGAGAAAAATGTGGAAAGCTAGCAGGCAGGCGCACGAAAACATGGAAGCCTGTAAGATTCTGCATTCCTGGTTGGGATGAAGGTTTAAATTGTTGGTAATGCATATTGGATAGTACTACAATTATATAATTTGTCCTTTCACTTGATTTCTGTACTTACCTTTTTGAATTTTTTGTCAGGTCATTGCATTTGATGAGTTGAAGACGGATTACAAACACCCGATCGAACAATGCAACAGTTTAAATCCAGTAAGTATTAAAATTGAAGCAACCACTTTTGAACTGAATTTCATGTTGTTTCGATGGTAAAACCGAAGAAGCACACAACTGAGCTGAAGAGTTTCAAAATTTCATCCCCTACGTTTTTTGTTAAAGTTAAAGCTGGTAAGTTCTGTTTCACCTGAGATGAAGGAGAACAAAATGCATCCATCTAACATGCTATATGCAATGACAACTAATGTGGTTTACGGTGCATCACATTTCTCGTTAGCTCTTATTGATATTGACACTAAGCAGGTGTTAAAAATGTTATTCTTTCACTGAATTTATCTTCATGGGACACAAAACTACTTTTCAAGAGTCAACTTTAACTGCATATATCTCATTGCCCTAATTTTTCTTGTTGGCAACTGATTTTATTGACAATTTTGTATAGGAATTGCGTTAATTCTCTGTTTATTTTTCAGTTGGTGCTCCCTGAGTATATTCTTCATTTATTTTTCAACATACTCTTTCTGTTTGCGGGGCAATGGTTATCCCTCATGTTCAATCTTCCACTGATTGCTTACCATATCAATAGGTTAGTGAAGTTTTATTTATTTACGTTGACTTATTTTTCAACTTAAAAATAAAGTCACAAAGGTGGAATAAACAATCCTACTACTTAGCTGATTATGGACACTACAGACACCATCTGACCTGCATATTTATTGATAATATTAAACTGTGATGCGCTTTTCTCAGCCAGGAATACTTTCAGAAAGACATGGCCAATCCATATTACATCTGAATTTTACATAGTGAAAATTGATCTAAGATATGAACTTACAGGTGTCAAAAGTATAATTTATGAGATATCATGTTCAACAAGTGATGGCATTAAGTACTGGTATTATGTGGCATAACTCGCATGACTGGTGTTTGCTTACGCTTTTTGACTCCTGGTTCCAACTTGCTCTTCAAAGATCCCCCGAATCTCTCACTATATATTAGGAAGACAAGGCGTACACTGCACAGTCTCTTTTATTTGATGTATTTGTTCCATACATTTCCCACATCCTCAATAAAGTGTCAGAACAATGACTCATGTGAATGCACATTGTGAAAACTTCGTAGGAACAAATCAATAGATAGGTCCTGCCCTTTGTAAAAGGCTGGTACTAACCTCTCGTCCACCAAAAATAAATTGATAGCGTGTGGTTATTTCAGATATATTGTCGGCCTCCTGTGGTGCAGTGCTTGTAGTGCTTGCTCTTTGATCTGGAGGCCCCGAATTCGATTGCTGGCAGGTGACCTGTGTTTTATGGTCTCACACACAAAGCAAGGTTCTTAATCAAGGTTGGATACCCCCATGTTGTCTCTCCTCTGAAGAGAACCCTTAATTATGCTAACGCAGACCAATCAAATTCTTCAATTCCAAATATCACTCATGTTTCCGAATATTATACGTAATATTGAAAGGTTTTACTTTTGCTCTCGATCTTTCAAATTTCTCTTTCTCCCCAGGTACCGTACGAGACCAGTCATGTCTGGTCCAGGTCTCTATGATCCAACAAGCATTATGAATGCTGACATTCTTGCTCGATGTCAGAGAGAGGGATGGACAAAGTTAGCATTCTATTTGATAACGTTTTTCTATTATCTCTATGGGTAAGTATTGATACCACATATTTTTAACAGGATAAACTGATAGTTTAACACGCTAACCATAAAGATGGCTTTTGCTTAGGTTTTCTTTTGCACCATAAGTGAATTAGACTGATGTAGAATCTGAATTCTGCTTTTTCAAACCTTCATTGCATCAAACCTGGTGTGCATGGCTAAAGTTTTGTTTTACTCAACGGCACTGCAATCAACTGGCCCTGGATAAACACATAGACTTAGAGTTTGGCACCATTACTGTATCATCATGTTTAAAGGCAGCTTTTGCAAAGTCTCAATTTTGAATAAGAGAATTTCTTCCAGCAAAGAAATTGTATGCTTGCTAAACCTATTTCCCTCACCTGACCCATCATTTAAAGTATTGCATTGTATCTCATTCAACGAACAAACACTACGTGCAGTATTCTCAATTGAGGCGCCGAGTGCAAGAAGAGTGCTTCTTGCCGGCAAAGTTTCAGACTCTCTGTTGCAAATTTATACCTCAGAGAAGAATCTACTGTGTGATTTTTCTGAAATTCTATTCCGTAAAACATTGCAAAATCATTAAGAACATTCAGGAAAAATGTAAAAAATGCAAGCACTAATTTTTTCCTTATAATGTATGAAATATTAGCGGAAATTCTGAATACCAAAACCGAGAAGCGCTGCTCTCGCATCCAATGCTATAATTAATTAATTCCCCCCTTTTTTTGTATCAAATTTAATTTCTCAATTTTTCTTCACAGGTTGATTTATTCTCTCATCACTGTCTCAGAAAAAGTTTAAACGAAAGAACAGCACAAGTTTTGTCAAGCACAGCGTGTCAAAGGCTGAATCATCTGACTGGGGGAACATATTTTGTTGTGTAAGCAAATTGTAATTGTTTGGTAGTTACTTGCCTCTTGTAACCCTCTATGGCATGAATTAATTTTGGATCTCAGATTCTGGGGGACACTAATCTATTTTGTAGCTCGCATGAAAAACATAGAGCACCAATTTTTTTTCAAAATTTTAAATTTTATGGAATCAGTTTATTGAAAAAAAGAAAAAAACTAATGAAAATTTGGAAAATTATGCCACAGAGAGAAGATTCCATCTTTTAAAACCCCAAAAATATGCTGTTACAAATTTGTAATGCTATGCCATAGGGGGTTAACTTAACTGAATCACCAAAGTTTCCACCAAAAACCCTCTCTCAAAGTTTGTTGGTACATTCTGACAATTCGCATTGTCAAATGAGGTCTGTAAAGGTTTTTTCGGGAAATTGAATGAAAGCAGATCTTTCGGAAGTCAGTCAACTCTTTCAATCAGGGAATTTTAAATAATTTGTTCACTAAGTAGTCGATAGTTGATAAGTATGTTGGCAGCTGGGAAGGTTTAGTCCTACTATTTTATGAATAGGTAATGAATCACAATTTTTTCCCCATAAAATGGAGGGCTTATCTTCACAATCAAGTTTTTTTATTTAAAGTATTTTCCAGTCAAGAAGCCTGGAGCATAGTCCCTTGGAAAGTTTTGTGTGAGAAGGAACTATGATTTTCTTTAATTGAAATCTTTTTTTATAAGCTCAGAATTCAGGGTACTTTTATGAGAAGATAGATAATTTATCTTATCGCCTAGAGATGTTTTTTGCCATGTGCCCTACTGTAGGTAGTGATGTAATTTTTGGTGTTTTCATTAGAATCAACCATTAGAATTTCAGTTACAAACATTCAACAACAATTTCATCAGAAACATTTCAAAACCCCTGTTAACTTATGGACTCCATTTTGAATAATACACATGAATTGATGAACATGTCATCTTCTCTCAGATGGAGAAATGTATCTCAATTCCATGGTGGCAAAATCTGCTCGCAAAATTCTTTTCCCACACTCAAATGATTGTGCGGTTTCTGTCTAAATTTATGCTGATTTTTCATGAAAAAATCTGTGAAATTTTCATCAAAAATGTCCAATAGTTTATGAGAATAAATAAAAATTGTGAGATAATATTTGGCAACTTTGAGATGTAGTTCCTGTCCTTCGTTTGGGAAATGACGATGGATCACTGTAGTCCATTTTGCCCTCTTTTTTCCTCCACTGTTCTTGTTGAATTAGTTTCTGCTTTTGACAGTATGCTCTGAGTATGGCACTCTGTATGTATTCTGTCCGTTCAATATTTTCATTTATCATCCTCAAATCCGTACTGTAACACATATGACTGATTTATGCACCTTTGCCTCATTGTTTTTCCTGATTTTGATTCAAAACAGTTATTCCTCAACATCAAATAATCAAACTTACTGTTTAACGAGTCACTCTCCAACCAACTTTCCCATAAATTTCTTGGCTCTCTTGTTAGTGGGCATAGCTTTTTTGAAAAAAAAAAAACACTGAAAATCAAGTTCTAAGTATTCACAGGAGTCTAAATTTGCCGTTCTTCTTTTTGTCTTTCTCAAATTAGTTTATTTTGTAGAGTGGCCAATTTCTGTTCTGAACCACCGATGTTTTCTTATTCTATTTATAAATCTGGAGGAGAGAATGATAGGAATCAGGAAAATAGTTGAATGGATGTATTTATGCTAAAAGAAACGAGGTGAAAATGAATTAAATCAAAAGGAACTATGTGCGCAGGGTTTGCATGCTACAGATTTCCTTTTGATTTTATTGATTCTCAATGAGTTGCTCCTAGCATCAATGAGTTCAAATAAAAAAAAAGCTGTTGAATTTCAGTATTTGTCCTGTTTAATAATTATTTTTGACTCCATTGGTGAGGACTTAAAATGGGTGGTTAATTGTTTTTCAGTTTATCGGGTGCACTTAAAGTCACCTTTTTTGTGTGTGCAAAAAGCAATGCCCAACTTTTTGGAAGACTCATTCACCAAAAGACATTTTACTGGAAAGAGGAGATGCCTTCTCTAACCCCAATATGCTTGTACTTAGCTGGAAATTTGTAAAGCCTCACTCGATTTATCCAATAATTTTAAGGTAACGGTTTCCTCTGTACAGTTTAATCAAGCCTTTTTTTTGGTTTTTCATAATTGTATAATTTTTTATAAATAGGGAGTAACGTAACGATCAAATAATAAAACCAAAAGAAATCATGTTAATATTCTTTTGCCTTTTTTTAATTTTTGATATTAATTTGTATTTATTGTTTACAAAGGGAACTTCAATTGCTTATCTAGTTTTTCAGTCTCGCTTTTATGAAACATTAGTTTAGTCTTTTGAAGGTTATGTGGATGAAAGTTGTAAATATGTCAGTTGCAAAAAATTAAGACTGATCAGTTTGAACACATAGTATGATAAAGTTTAGCTGCTGAAGAAATTTTTTGACCCACCTGGTAGAGAGGCATCACAATTTGTCTTTCTCCTTCTCAGTATCTTCCTCACTGTTTAAGGGCAGCGCATGAGGTATTATTGTTCCAACATCAAATAATCTTACATTAGCTTCAAAATAAAGTCATTTTAATATTTATAAATGTTGAGGAAAAACTCGAGCAAAAATGTTCCGGCAAGTATGCACTTGAGGCAAAAAAATAGTGTCTGGTGGACAAGGTTTTGTCATTGTTCATTTTCTTGACAGATTCTATTTTGGGCCAGCTCTTAAAGAATGTATGCCTTCTCTTCGTCTTTAGACCTGTGATGATCTGCCTAACTCTTGTACTGCTGGCAGTTGTATTGAAAGATCTTGTGTAACAGCGATCAATTATAGTGCGGCACTTACTTAAGATTGCCAGGAACATAAATTAGCAGTCTTTTATTTTACCTATTTGTGAGAGTATAATACATTTACTTAAAAAACTATGCATCATGTATAATATGTTTCGATGTTGAACGTACAAATAGATCACATAAGTGAGCAAAGCAAGCTCCCTCAAAACAGCAAATTAAGAACTTGTAATGCTCCTAACAGATTTCTAACTTCTATAATTGAATTCAGTGAATGTTTTGACTGCAACACTTTTTGAAGATGGAATATTGTATTGAGGCCTTCTATTTGCTGTAATTTTTGCTGCATTGATATTCTGGTCAATTAGTTAAGTGGATAATTTTGGATTCTTTCTTGCATTGATCGCACGCAGTAAACTGGAATTTTTAGATTTTTGAAGATGATGTTTAAGCTTTATTGCCATGCCCTCCTTTTTTCTCTGTAGGTAGATAACGTAATTTTTGTATATGTTTTTCTATAATTAAACAATTTATTTTGCCATGCTGTCACATGTTAAAAAAAGCTCAAAAGATATGATTTCATAGCTAATGATAGTTAGATTATTTGTTATTGTTTTTCTCTCACTTTTTCTTTTTTGGTATTTTAATAAAACAACTTTTAAATCTTGTATCCTTATTTTTGATCATTTTACTATTCATACTTTGTGCAGAAATCATTTTCTAAAATAACAATTCCATGAATTGGGGAAGAATTGGTCATTCTCTAGAATGAGTATGACTGAAATATGAATGAACTAATTTAAACTTGCCACCTTTGAATCAGGGAAAGAAGTTTTAATTTGTGACAAACTTTTGAGGCACGAGATGCTATCAGAGTGATTAATTTTAAAATGTATTATTTATTTGTAAAGAAAGTTGTCACATGCCACAGTGAAACTGTAAATATGCATTTCTCGTTTGTGGTGTTTCCATATCTACGTTCTTCTTTTATTATTTTACAGAGGACAAACCTAAATATAGCTTGAAATGTTTACAGGATATTCTTCATACAACAAGGGAAAATCTGAGTTGGGTTTTTTTTAAAAACAAAACAATTATAAAACAATGCCACAATTAAGTCGAGATAGGCATTTTTGCAGTTTCACCTAAGTATATGGCCTAAATTTTACAATTTGGAACTACAAGCTCCAGCTCATCTGTAAAAACACTTATGTCAACAGTGAAACTAATGATACATGCATTGTTTCATAACTGAGCCAGATATTGTAGTTTCTAATCGCAAAATATAGTCTGTATATGTTTCATTCATTTGGTAAAAGGCTTGAAAGTAATCTTCATAATTGAGGAAGTGTAAGATTTCTTGGGTAAGATTTTATTTTGAATTTTTTATTGCTTATACAAAAGTCAATAATTTCATCATGAAAATCAAGCTGACAGATCGATGGTTACAGTCTAAACGTTTGCAAACCAATTTGACACAAACTTTAAATCATTCAATTTAAGAAAACACCGTTACTGTTATCCTAAATGCTACGTTTTAAATAAATTACAAAAAAATAAAATGATTCAACTCTAAGGGAAGTACCAAACGTATGCACATGATTGTGCACCAATCCATGAAATTTAACAATTTAAATAAGGCACTGATGAAAAGAAGATAAAACATGGACATAATCAGTGTGCGCATCATAAAAGTGCAAAATTCAAACATCATGCTGATGAAAAATCTGACGATTTCATTGATGCAATCAGTAAGTTTGGTGTGACCACATTACACAATTTTCTCAATATCATTCAGCGGAGGGAAAATAACATAAAAGAATAAAAAAAATATTATTTTTACCTTCAGGGAAGATAGAGGAAGGTCACGAAAACATATTCCAATTTTTGATGATTTGAAGAGCACCCTTTTACATTAACAGTTTACATTAAGTGACAAAAAGTCACGAAGTTCTTCCTTAGCACGGCAGAATTTTACTAGTTATTTTTCGAATTTAGGAGAGGGGACTCAATGCGGTTACAGTGTTGCAAAACTCGTGCAACGTTGTTCTATCTCAAAGATTTCTACAAGCCAAAATTTTCTTGGTTTTTCTGCCAAAAAATGGTCAATTTTTAGAGAGAACTATTCTGTAAAAGTCATCAAAAGTACATGCATTCAATTTTTTTTAAAAGCAAAGAAAACGTTGCACGATTTGCGCAACACTATAATTACATTGGTTCCTTTCTGCTAAATTACATCCAAATAAGGGTTGATAACAGACCTGTTCAGGAAATGAAGCACCAAACCAAAAATCACTTGCATACAACTAAAAGGGCATAAAAAATCAAAGTAGAATTTATAATAAGATAGAGCTTCATGTATCCTGTTAGACATAGCAAAGACTCATGCTGTACATTGAAAATAATAATTGAAAATCTACGGAGAAAATTAGAGTTCATGGTAAAAGTGGTAGAAACTCAGCTTTTGATTTAAAGGATTTTAATGGGCCAATGTATGCTACCAAGGTTCCACTTTGCAACTTCAGATCTGAGAGCATGTTATTCAGAAGAACTGCCTCGAAACTGTCTCAAAAAGTTTTCAGCCGCAGCGCAGATGAGATCAAGCATCTGATAAATGAATCTCAACAATAAGTTTTAGTACTTCCTCTCAGAGTGTCTTAAAAATTAAAATATAGAGCTAATTTAAAGACTGAGAAGGTTCATTTAAAGAATAAGTCTTTCGAGGATTTATTATAATCATTAGATTTTGAAATATTGTAAGGTTTGTAAATCTTAAAAATAAAAACAATCCAATTCTAAGCATATTATTTGAAATAACGTGTCCAAATAAAAGAAGCTTATTTGAAAAAAAAATCGATGAATGAAGCTAGTTCGTTTCGTGAAATTTAGGAACACTGCATTTGGCATTGGAAGTACTGGTATTTTTAAGGGCTAAAATTAAGTTAATTTGGAAACAATTTGCTTACGTTAATTTATGAAAAATAAAAAAACAATCTCTTATGGAGATCAGATTTGAGACTGGTGGATTTGGTATATGTACTGGTCTTTTCAAAACCTAAAGCTACAATAATACGGAAGAAATGTGATCAAATCATTGTAAAATACGTTTCTTTAAAAAAATACAAATATAAAAAACAAATTGTTGCATTTTTTTGAGAATAATTTCATGGCATATCAGAACTGTTGCGGGTTCACGATTGTAGCCTTTAAGATTTGATTTGATTATCAAAAACAATTTATACTTTGAATTCCCTTCCATAAGAATGAGATAGAAAAAGTCAAAGGTGAAGAGGAGTGAAGATCCTGTCATACCTCAGAATAACATAAAAAAAGGAATAGAAAATCTTGAAAATATACTAGATAAACTCCATTACACATGACTTCTTCTCAACTGTGGATAAATACCTGAATTTAGTCATTATTCTTTAGGAAAAATTGGAGTTACAATCTTACTCACATGCTCTGAGATATAACATTGTAAAACTCTCATGAGTCATCATTCAATAAAGTTGAGAACTCGCTTACTTACAAAAAATTACTCAGTCCTAGTTTACCATGAGAACACTTTGTACATATAAACTTTCTGTTAACATTACCTGAGCAAACAATGAAAAAATAGCTTCAACAAAAATTTAAAAGAATGCTACAAAAATAATGCACAGCAAGGCCTAATAAAGTCATACTTAATGGGCGACAAGACAAGGTCTAAGCCAGAAATATACCTCATGTGTCTATTTGTGTAAAATCTTATGTCAAAAATAATTCACTCAACGGGAAGTTTTGGACTCAACTCCTGAGCAACATATTAACAAGTCCTTTCAACACAGATAAAATGGAAGTTAGATTATACGAATTACATCATTTGTATTTTTCCATTTAACCAATGTTAACTGTGAACATTCATATCTTGTTTAGGAGTTGATTTTCAAGTTTTCTGTTGAGTGATTTGTTTTTTCCAGCAAGTTTAAAGAGAATATAAGTTTCATAGTGCTCAAATTTAAATTTTGTCTAGGGGCCCTTTCGAGATCTTACATTCAACATAGTTGACTATCACTAACAAATGCTAAAATTTGTCTCTTTCTTCTCTCTCTTTTTTTTTAAATAGGTAAGGTAATACACTTTGGTTCAAATGTGAAAAAAGTTTTTGAAGAAGCTAAGTGAAATGGTTTTTATTTATCCTACGAAGTGAAACCAGTCAACGAGTGAGAAAGTTTGAGGCCTTAACTGCTCATGAAAGAGGGAAATATCGCAGTCTCTTGTTACCGATCTGATCTTTCTCTCCTTCAACCACAGATTTTCAAAAGTCTATCCAAAGTTTTCAAGATTCCAGTTGAACACTTAAGTTTGATGTTCACTTGACATTCTTGTCCTAAGGAATCTAACAGTCAAAGATAAAATGGTTAAAATGTTGTGGATTTATGAGCATCAAGGCCTTGAGAATTTGAACCTTATACCAACGAGGACAACATCCAAATAGTGCCCAATGAAATACAGGACGATGGGTGAGTATAAATTAGTTACCAGTCTTGATTAAGGCATTAGAACAAAAATTGTTTTATCCCAATTTCTTTCCCTTTCTAATTTTCCATATATATGCCAGGAGAAATATTTAAGTATTAAGTATAAAGTATGAAAAATAAAGATATTATCGTCAGCTTCTGACCAAAGTATCACAAGCGACATTAATGCTTGGACGCTATGTTGCAGGAAATCTCAATAATGTTTTGATTTCTTATTTAACCCTTTTGCATATGCATACTTTCATGAAAATTTCAAGGATTATCTAAATGACCCAAGAAATATTAGGTAACATTTTTAAGTGATTTTGTCCATTAGTTTTTCCATAAAAAAATTGGCCGAGTTTGATAAGTTTGGCAACATAGTGACTGAGCACAAATGGCACTTGTGGTACCTCGGCTAGAGGTTTTCAAACAAATTATTGCTGGTAACTATTATGCCGTTTTTAACCGATTCAGTTAAGCTCTTTGATAGTGGCAAAGCTATCAGAAACAGGCGGCCTCATCTGAGTTGCAAGTGCTCTTATTTGTTGCAATTGTTGCAAAACTGTGTGCCACGTGTCAGGTTTTTGGATTCCACAGCACGTTAATTAGATGTACATGTGGCAACAGCTTATTTTCGCCACCTCTGAAAACTCAAATCACAGGGATTTTTGAATGCTAAAATACTTCATTGAGCAGAAAGTCTTTTGGATTAGTTGTCTTCGAAAATATACAGTATTCTCGCATTGTAAAAATACAAAAACAAAAAAAATTAATAGAGATCATTACTTTCAAAAAAAGCAAATTGGTGGTAAAACTACCAAATCATCCACTTCAATTAATGATGTTGCGGATTTTCTATTTTCCAGATATACATGAATTTGCTTACTTTCTTGGAGGAAAACTCATCATTAGAACATACAATTTTAAGTGATTCTTTTACTCCTCCAAGAATATACTCTGAAAATTTTGGGCGAAAATATCCAGGAATATTTTGTAAAACGAAAATTAAGAAACAATAGAAATTTTGAAACACTGCAATCGAAATCCGCATTTTTATAATTTTACCATAGGAATGTGATTCTACCACTTCATTCTCAAACCGGAATGCGAATCACTATAAAGGTCACTGATGACCCGAGTAAAAAGAAAAATGATGTTGCGAAGTCGAGAAGAAATCCTTGTATTGTCTTGATGAACTTGACAACATTTCATTTCATTCAAGACCAACAACTAGTGCTGGGAATGACCACTGTGCACTTTTTGAAGAGTGATGACACTTTCTATAAAAAACACTTCAAATTTACAAAGGAAGGAACCCTCCCACTCTTCTTTGATACAAAATTATGTGTAATCTATGAATAGAAGGAAACAATTTGGCTTCGAAGTATTGTTAGATTCTAGAAATTGTTTAAATTGATTTAGGACGTAAGGTTACAGTGCAACACAATGTAACATAAAAACAATGCAACATAGATAACTAAAAATGAGCAAAGAGATGAACTAAAAAGCTCATAAAAAACGTGCAAAAATACACAATTCAATTTTTACAAGAATAGAAGAATACTTGGAAAGGGTTTCTCACTTTAAATATTTCAAGAATTTGTTTAAAGAGAACTCACCTCCTAGAATTAATGATTTTTTTGATGGGATATTCAATCACTTTACAGTAAGACCTCGAATTATCGGATCGCAATTTAACGGATCGATCCTCCGGTCCCTTCAGCAGGACCCACTAGCACGATTTAGTGGATTCCGCGATTTATCGGGTTCGGCCTCCGGTCCTGTGAAATCCGATAAATTGAGGTCTTACTGTAATTGCTACAGCATTTGCACCAACAGCAGCTAGGATTAGGGTTTTGAAATGGTTTTCATGCAACAAGGTGGCTACTGACAGTGATTTTAAAGATATTTCAAGGCCTTAAATTTTTAAGGCTTAAAAAGAAGCCTGGGAAACATAAAAATACTTAGACGTTGGCTGTGATCCGATAAAGACAAGATCGAGTTGCCACTGCAAGACCAGGAGTACAATTTTTTTGGTAACTATGAATGGCAATAATTGCAGAGTCATCCACATCAATTCGGTGAATGGGGCTATTAAAGTCAAATTGGAGAAGATCTTCCAGTTTTTGAATTTGATACAGGAATAAATATCCTAGAATAAAAAAATAAAAAGTTTATGATTCAAAATCTAAAACCGAGGAACTTCGGAAAAATTGATTTTTCTGAGGATTTCCGATAACCACATTGTGCAAAACATGCGTGACCATGGTCCAAATACCTCACCGCACAAAAAGCTCTAAAACATTATTTTTAATAAGACACTTAGTCAAATTCAACTGAAAGATGCATTTAAGTATGATCTTCAGTACAGAACATGATAAATAATTATAAAAACGCAGAAAGGGGTACTTACAAATAGACTGCATTTTGCAATTTGGAACTATAAGTTCTGGCTCTACTAGAAAAAAACTGATGTGCATAGGGAAACTAATGGCACATACGTTGGTTTTAAACCGGGCTAGAATTTACGGTTCCAAATTGCAAAATGCAGTCCAAATATAACCTGCAGCAGCTAAAAATACTGCAACACTATTCCATCTTTCTTTCCATTCGATTTTTTACTTTCATTCTTTCTCAGAAAAAGTGCTTCAATACCAGAAGAAAAGCTGATTACTTTCAGTTTTTTTTTTTTTTTTTTTTTTTTTTTTTTTTTTTTTTTTTTNTTTTTTTTTTTTTTTTTTTTTTTTTTTTTTTTTTTTTTAAATTTGAAAAAAGCTATATGAAAACAAAAAAAAATAGATAAATAAAAATATAAACTAGATGAGTAACAAAGTTATTATTTTGGAAAGCAGTATGCTACTACACATATTTAAATGTAAAAATCTTAGTAGGTGAAGATCCATTCTAGTCTGAGAAGACTCAACACCTAGATCTGCTTACATTTGTGAAACATCAAGAAAACCTCGACTATATAGGAGCTGATTGGTCTTACCCTCTTTAAATGCTTCATACAATCAGAAACCATTATGATCAGAATAGATCCCAAAATTGAGAGACTTAAAGAATGCAACCAACAAAAAAGCGCAAAAAAAGGATGTAAACTCTTACCGACATCTGTTCCCAAAATGAGGAAATTTTGAAATAACTCAATGGCTGTAATGACCTTTTCTTTCAAATACACATAGATGCTTGAATTTCTCAAATTCATGTAAAGCCTATTGCACACTAAAAAATGAGAAAAGAAAAAAAAATGTCATACATTAATATACAGACCCATTAATAACAGGAAAGGAGAAACATCATTACCATAGCTTTCCACAGTTACTCTTAGTCCTGAAAAATGACTCCTAAGTTATTATGCCTATACTGAGGACACTAGACTTTGCACTGGATGCTTTGTCCGTCTTATCTTACCAGTCGGCAAGCAACAGGGAAGAGGAACTCTCCTTAATCACTGACATTTCTCTATTGGATAATTTCTTTGAAATATTGATAATTCACTTTTTAGCTCTGCTTGTCTGGAAATTGACACAAAGGAAGTTCGATTTTACGAGCTCTACTTGTTCAGATCAACCTTTCAAATAATATCAAAAATTTAGCCAGCCCTATTTATCTTAGTTTTCCATGAATTAAGATAAGGGATGAAGCATGTAAAAAGGATGAAAGGCAAAATGCTCTCTCTACTCTGAGATGCAATTTTCGATGAGGCTTGTGAATTTAGCCTCTTTCCTCCGATGAATTTTTTTTTTCCCCAGCCAGAGGCTTGTGCCACTGCTAAAGTAAATAGTTTATTTTTGACTGAAATGATGCCCTTAATAATTTTATTAAAAGAGGCCTAAACCTATTTTTTTAAGACCTTTTTACTACGAAGAAACGAACATGAAAATTTGTATCTATGATAATTAACAATAAAAAATTATACGTACTACTGATGGCAAAGAACATTCCGCATTTCCAGGTTTTCAACTTAAATGCCATTGCGCGCAGACAGCCACAAGCACAATCAATTGGCCGTGACTTCATGTCTGCAGAGAAACAAGAGGAGACTCTCTCCAACTTAAAGTTTAATGCTGCCATGACAAGAGGTGAACTCTTAACAAAGTATGAAATCTAAAAGAAAAAATACCATTTTTGTAATTGAAAAAAGAGGGTACCTTCAATGTCTGGAGGACGAGGTTTCAAGAGTTCAAACATAATAAATTCTTTAAAAGCATCTGTCTATCATGAAATTTCACCATATATTTTACGGATGGCAATAAGTGACTCCTTTGTCATTCTATTCCTAACCTGCTCATATTTCCAATGAAGACTGTTTTGTAATGCAGATCGCACAATATCCTGTGCTACCTTTTTCATGATCCACAAACTGCAAAACACAGCATAAATACTGCTGACAGAGTAAATTAAGTGAACTACGTACCAAAATAGACTTGTCCTGAGACTATAAGGACAAAAATCTCGATTGCCATAGTCAAAAAATTTCGATTCTATTTCATTTCTAAGAAGGGATTCACTTAGAGTTTTCATACAAACTTTTCAGAGAATGTTCTTAAAAGGGCAAAGAAAATTCACAGGAAATTTTGCGCAATGATGATCATCAGTCATCTCTTAAAAAAGTAAAATGTAAAAGGATACCTACAAAACAGCATTCTGAGTTACACATTGCAGGGTTTCAGCGTTGATAGATCAATGATATATTTTCTGAGGATATTCGAAGATTTCCGAAGATCTTTGGAAGGATATTTCCAGGAGTATACAGATTTGACATGAAAAAATTCCCTGACTTTTCAAGATTTTCTCTGGATAAAATAATCACACTGACTTTCTACATCAAAAATTTGTACACAAAGGACTTGCCAATGTCATGTGAATTGATAGCAAATGAGTTGTTCTCTAAAATTGAATCAAGATTTGCTCTTAAAAATTACAGTACTAGTCTCAGTTATTTTCTGACAGTCTTTCAATGTTCATAGTCTGTATTTAGTGCTGGGCCTAGAGGGAGAATAATCTGCTGAAACAGTCCGCTAATGAAATGAAAAAGAATTCTAGAAGTACCGTGTTATTATATAGACAAATGCCTTTTGAATTGTCGCAATCAGATGGAACTGAGTAAACGTCTTCACCCGACAGCAGTATTAAGTCTCCACTTGAAAAATAGTTATTATATTCGGATTCTTTGAGGTGGAGAGTGGCATTTTTGCAGTACCTGGAATGAGTTAAAACCTTCAATGAATCATTTTATTGGTAGTATAGGTCTGATGAGAAATGTTGCTTCAAAGGACATCACTTCATACAGAAAAAACAACCTTTATAATAATTAATTGATCAATTGAGGCTTTTGACAGAAAATACTCTCCAATATTGTAAAAAATAAATAGGCATGGTTCGTTTTGAAAAGTTTTGATTTTTCTGAGGACCACCAGCAATTTCTTTTGATAAAATAGTCGGGGAAAATCTCTAGATTGAAAAAGTGAAGACCGCAAAATTGTAAGTGAGGTCGTTTTTTTTTTTTTTTTCATTTTCGAGTTTTTCGATTTTTAAGGGTGAAGTATAGGCAGAGGCCAATGCTTGACCACCAAAATCCATCACTCCCTAGTCAAATTAAGTTCAAAGTCTATGGATGTTGGTCCTTGACATGTAAAAGAGCGTCATCAAAGTTTCAAACCCTCCCTTGAAGAATTGCGCCCCCTCACGTGGTGTTGCCATAATGATGCAGCTGATGGGGCAATGTAGATTTTGAGTTGCGATTATCTAAAAAATCATGAAAAAACTTGCTATTTTACTCAGTGTGAATCATTTTAAAGTTACGTTACTGTAAGCAAGCGAGGTTGCCATATTTTCATTTTTTGAAATTGTGGTTACATTTTTATGGAGTATTCAATGAAAAATCTCAAAGTTGAGTGACCCCCCTTACACAAAAACATAAAAAAATAAAATGGAAAAGGAAGATAAAAAAAGGACTTTTAGGTAACTCACTTTGTCAACACCTTCTCCCGCACAGGGTTATAACTGCGAGAGTGATGATATCTCTTTCTTAGGTCAATTACATTATGAAATCGAGGCTTCAAATATAAATCCAATTTGTCGTGAAGGCATCCCTTTAATATTTCTAGAGAGAAAAAGAAAGAGAACCATGGATTAACTCTATAGGAATGAATAAACTAAACTGAACTGGAGAAATGTCACTGATATATAAATATAAAATTTTATTTGATGTTCACACCAAATCGTTTCTTCATTTCAGCGCTGGGACTTAAGTTTGAAGAGAAGAAAACATGTTTGTTTGGATGAAAACCTGCTTTTGATTATTTCTTTCTAAACGCCTTGAAAAATATGCAAAACTTCATAAAGAGAGAAAATACTTTACCAACAACAGTGAGATTGAGTGATAGAATATGATCTCAATTTACCGTTGTCATGCGTAGGAGCACCAGGTTGTGTGAATAGTTCCATGGAGTCAACAGCAATTCCATGGAAAATGACAGTTGATTCACCTGACGTCAAGTTATAAGATTGAACACCTTGTGCATGACCGACAAAAGCAACATCACCTGAAAGAGACATATATCTTGATAAGTGAGTATTTTTGAAATCGGTGGATGTTCAGAGTTATTTTAATTTTTTTCTCTTTTTTGAATAATAAAATTATCCTTCAGGGAGGGGACGAAGGGGACGAGCAGTGAAAGGGTGGCAACAGGGGGTTTTAGAAGAAATTAGGGAGTGCCAACTCCCTGAAGGGCTTTGAGAGGATAGGGGACTTTGGTGGCTAGGTGTCGCAGAGCGCCAGAGCACGCTATAAGAGCGACTTATTTAGATATAAATTATCCTTTAATCTAAGCGCGTACACTCGTATTTTCTTGCCCATCTCGTCAAAGAATGCGATTATGACCAGATAGTTGGGTAGCGTAACTTTGCCAGTGCTGTCCTAAGACAATTAGGCTGCGACAAGTTAAGCCATGCGATCACTATGTGATTGTTATGGTCACATTTTCATTTTCCTGGCTTCTCCATATTTGTACTATGATTACTGTTTTATTGATGAGCAGATTAGTTTTAGGACAGCGCTTATTCATGTTAGAAATTTAGTAAAAAAAAAAAAAAAAAAAAAAAATTATTCTTTCCTTTGCATTCTTTTTGTCAAATTTATTACCTGAGCTCAAAAGTCTTGTGAAACTGTGATTGCATTTTAAAATTCTATGAAAATGAAAGTGATTCGAAATGCAAAGATAATCAATAAAAAGTATTGACAAAGAAACAGTAGGAACACATGTATTGTTTCTGAGGGTTTCAAAATAGTTGCATCTATTTTATTTCATCAAAAAAGAGCAAACAAACATTGTTGCTTGAAATGTTCATAGATTATTCTTCACATACCTAGATAGGACAAATTTAGGAAGTTTTCAAGAAATAATGTAATGCAGCTCTTTCCATTTAGAAGATAAAGAATAACAGGAAGTTTGCCCTCTGCCACATTGCAAACCAAAATACAAACTCCTGGAGTTTCAGCATCAATGTAGTGCATACATTATTAGGAACAATATTCGAATGAATAGGTGTATTACTCACACATGTTTTTGGATGATGATATCAAATTCAGTGCTGTCCACCAAAATCATAATTTTTATTTTTTGTCTGGTAAGCCTTTAATAAACTTGTGGCAGTGTTGAGGAATACAACCCGAAGAGCATCATTTGATGCTTTTTTGGGTCATTCTTTTGGTCAAACGTTGGCCTCTGTTCCGTCAGTTTGAACGACTCTGAGGAATATAAAGTCCAGTGGAGTCCCAACTTGTGTTTTGTTCATTTTTTAAAGAATTAAATTCCGGAGATAGGGCCACATAGGTATTTCAACAAATGGAGATGTTGCATGTGTGAGGAATTTGCAATTTAAATAATGAACCTTATGTAAAAGTCTGCAAGAAACAAGATAGTGCCACTGGTTTTCCTTAAAAACAACTCCCAAGCTCAAAAAAATCTCTCAAAGGTTAGGGCATAATGGAGGGGATATTCCATGCTATCCTGAGAGTCTACCTCTACATCAAGGCAAACTCTCCATGCAAAGATAGGGAGCAAATACATTGACAGGGCTGCCACTTCGTTTGGAGACTCTAAAACTGAAAACATGGCAACCCTACCACATTATTAGCTCCCTATCTTTGCATGGAGAGTTTGTCTTGATGTAGAGGTGGACTCTCAGGATAGCGTTGGTTATCCCTTCCATTACAGCCTCAACTTTAAGAGCGTTTTTTAAAGCTTGAGAGTTGATTTCAGAGAAAATCAGAGTGACCATCGTGTTTCTCGCAAACTTTCACAAAAGAATAAAAAGTCAAATCGCAAATTCCTCAGACATGCAACATCTCCATTCTGTTTAGTTTCCTCCTAACTTATTAACATAATAAATTATTTCTACCTGTAGTTTAATTATACTTTCTTTTAACTTTCATCTACGCTCTCAGTTTGCCTTGTTTGTCTTTACATTTTTCTTTTTTGAGCCTTAAAATTCATTTCGGATTCTTTCATACAATGCCAATCTGAGTTAGTTCTTTTGGGGGTTACTTTATTCCCCTTTGCTTACAATCAGTATTTGTCCTTTTTTTTTTTCTTTTCTTTTGTTTTGATAAATATGTAACATATTTCACTGAAGGTACCTTTTCGCATATGAAGCAGTTACAGTTACATCTCTCCACATGTATATTTTTAAAATAAACAAACATCTATCTAACGTATACTTAGTTTAGCAATAAAAAGCAGTTAAAAAAAAGTCACGGATCAATCTCTTACCCGATACTTCAACACAATTGATGCTGTAAGGTGGTTCTTCCATTCTCTGCACTTCACTTGATTTACCCAGGTTAGTGAAAAATTTATTCCACTTTACCCATGTCTCAAATACGGTTGGCCAGTTGACGTTATCTGTGAACCAATATTTTGGATACATTTGAAGAAGCAGTTCCTCACGTAAACACTCTGGAATCTCACTCATACATCTTTGCTGCCAGTTAATTCTCTGAAAAAAAAAATACTTTGATTCAGATATCAACTTCTGATGAAATACAAATTCTACAAGAAGTTAAAGAAATTTTGAGGAGAAAAGGAAACTTATAGTTAGTAGCAATATAAAACATGAATGCATACCGTATCAATAATTCTAGCACATATATTGTCCCCTGCCTTAGCTGCCAAGAGAGTCGCTCCATCACATTTTGATAGAATTACTTCAGTAACTTCGGTGGGGAACCTAGGGATATAGCATGAGGAGGTATCACTTCCGACTTCAGAATCTGGCATTTTAGATACCCTGTGAACTGAGATAAGATTGGATTAAATAAAATAACAAATAAATAAGAGTCAGTTGGATCTGATTACTCTGAAATTTTGTTCCTTTGACGCAAATCATACTTACATTCTCACTTCAAACTTCTCATTATCTGCGCACAAAAAACCGTCTTTGACATCTAGGTACGCAAAAAAATACTTAATGTGTCAATGAAGATAGAAATGATACTTACGATAATTAATAGATAAGTAATTTTCTTGTAAGGACCTCACAAGTCCAATGACTCAAATTTTTTTCCCCATATGATTTGGAAATTGGCATTGGAATACCTTTGGTAGATGGTAAACAAATGATAATGAATAAAATGTTATCATGAAAAGGAAGGTAAAGAAAGCATTGGATTCGCATCCTGATACGTCATTAAAATAAACAAATTTCCCCCACCCCCTTCGGCCCTGCCATAAGCTCATTACTTGCTAATATACAAGATGACGTAATGACATGGATCACCGGTCTGAAGAAGTCTCAGTGACTCTAGTCTGCTCTAGTCTCAGTCACCGAGTATAATTTCCGAATTTTCTAACCTCAATCATCCGAGCGTGCAAGTCTCAGCGTAGCGCATCGCCGAGTTTCTCTTATCACTCTCTAAATATTTCTACTTTTTACTTTTTTCTTTTCTAAAAGCGTGTTCTCCTTATTCAGTTCTACCATTCTCAAGCCTTGATTCGAACATCATCATATGGATAATAACATTGCTGTGCAACCAGTATCACTATGATTTGCTCCCGGTAGTAAAGTAATCCAGGCATCATGAGCCAGTTTCTTATTACTAAGTACTCTCTCAGCAAGTTTTTTTCACTCGAATCTGCTGTTTACCCCAAATTTTTGCAAAAAACTGCGCGCAAACCTGTGCAGCTCTTTAGACACTACTCGAGTGAAAGTGGGAATGAACCTGTAGCAGCCTCCGGTGACTCAGATCAATCTGCAAAGCCGAAAGGTTCCTTTGCCGATGCATTCAAAAGATATACTGCGCCGCCCACAGTAAAGCCTCGTCAAGAAGACGCCTTCGCCACGTTGTTGCGCAACTCCAAATTTATTGATGTAAGTTTCATTCTGTCTTAGCAGAAACCAACTGTTTTACAGCACCTTTCTCTTTATGATTGATCATGGAACTGACATAGAATAATGATGCTTCGCAATCAGAAGCGAAACTCCCGTAAGAACGCACCGAAGCAAACCCTGTACTTGCTTACTATGATGCCGCGCTGTGCGTTCTTGAAATGAGAGGGGCAGGACTTATAAATTTCAAACAGAACCGGCAACCCTGATGGCCCCGGCACGCAATTGTCAAATGTAAACAGTACTGTACTGAATATTCTTCTTCTTTGCTTTAACGTCCTTATCCCAGTTTTGCTTCTGATTGCGAAGCATCATTATTCTACGGAACTGAGGCCTCTTCTATAACCAATGGAGGGGCTTGGAGGACAAGGCGCAGAAGTGCAGTTTTTACTCATTTGAGAGATGCAAGGTTGAAGTTTCGAAATTACACGGATCCTTGTGGGGGAGAGAAAGTTCAAACTGACTTTTTGATGCTTAAAAATTGGAATTCGGGAGCAAACTTTTCACAGAGGATGTATTCAGACTGGTTTTACTTGAAATCATAACTATCTTAAATTTTTCAACAACTACTGCACTTATGCGCCTTGTCCTTTAAGCCTCTAAATTGCTCTGAACAGGAAGCTTGATCCTGAATCATTAGTAATAAACCAAAAATTAGAGCGGAGGTATAGTAGAAACTTAACTGCGATATCATGGTTATCTCTATATTCATGATATAGTTATTTTATCATGACTTGATTACAATTTGATCGATTGAAAAATCTCTCAAGTGTAACTTCTAGGAGTAAATAGGAAGGAATTCTTTTTGTTCTCTATCCAAAATTTAAAATATACTTGTGATCTATTCAGGGTTGCCAACATTCTGGAAAACCGGGAAAGTCAGGGAAGGTAGCTGCGACCAGGAGAAGTCAGGGAATTCACACAAAAAAACAGTTGTGTTAGCATTTAGCAGAAGTGATTGTAATTTATAGGAAAAACATTAAAGTGGAAGTTATATTTGATCGCCAGGGTAAGATGGGGAATTCAAAAATAGAAATTTTGGACTCAGAGAAAGTAAAAAATTGTCAGGGACTTTGAAGATGAACAAATTATGGCAACCCTGTATGTTAATGTAATTTTTTATGTTTTCAATGACTTTCTCTGCAATGGCACTTTTAATTTTTCATTTTCAGATAACAAGTAACGAAACTGCTTTGCAAATGGAAATATGCGGATTTGTGATTTTTGTCTTAGATCTACAAATTATTTCACAATTTCCGAACAGTTACTCCAAATTTCTCCTTAGAGGCAAGGGAACAAGTGGACATATATTGTGCTAAATTTTAACCATTGTTACCAAGTCCAAGAGGCTAAGATTCCTGGCTAGAAACTAGGTTCTGGTTCTCACTGCCACAAGACAACGCCATTAATGCTCTTAAATGAAAGCTAGCTGTTTACAAATATGAATTCTGTTCTTAAAAACTGCTTGATTATTTTGTTTCAGTTAGGTGATCCTAAAGGGAAAAGAGTAATCGGAAAAATATTCCACGTTGTCGGAGATGATTTGTACATTGATTTTGGATGGAAATTTCATTGTGTTTGCACCAGGCCAGCAACTAATGGAAGGTAAATGATTCTCTCTCTTGAACTTATACTTACTACTTGGACTACCCTACTACTACTAACCACCTACTCAAATGGTACTACAGACCCTTGAAGGCGTTGGCCCCTTCAACAACTTCTTGCCACTCAATCCCTTAAAGTAAAGCTCCCCAGTTTATTTTGCAAGAGCAGCAATAACTTATAGCAATTTTGTGGTGAAAAAATGCACTTTCTCTCCCCACATTTCAAGATCCTAACCTTGTGTTCAGATAACTAATTCAGAACTTTGCTGATTTCCAAATGGTAAAAATCTCTTCAGCCTTAGAAACTGTACAAATAACTTGCTCAGGTAGCATGTAATGTCATCGTATCACAAGTAATTTTCCTTTTAAGTGAGGAATAGCAACCTCACATGATGGAAGATTTCCTTTTGCATAATAAAAAATCAGAGAAGCAATTTTTGGGTGCAATGATTAACAACCCATCCTTCTGAACAACGAACTCCTTGGATGACCCACACGATTACCAAACTTCTTTTGGAGTATTTTATTTATGGAAATAAATTTATTATAACCCAGGAAGAATTTACAGAAAATTTCAAGGCATAATGCTGTTTGGTTCTCCGTTTAGAAAATGTAACTTGAGAGGAAATCAGGAACGCTCAATGCAATCACGCTTATTCTGGTTGGATCTGCCCAACTGATCTTTGAAAAAAAAATGATGTCATCATGATGAGATGAGAATATGGCGTTCTCACTGTCATCTGATGAGTTTGTAATTTTTTATGTCTTCACAAGTCTGATTATTTATTTTACTTTATATTTTCAGCGCATATGTAAGAGGCACAGAGGTTCTCCTCAGGCTAAAAGACCTAGAGCTGTCCACGAGATTCCTTGGAGCAGAGAAAGACTTAACTATCTTGGAAGCAGATGCAATTTTAGTAGGTTTAGTTTCTACTCCAGTCAAAAATGTTACTACTGATGCATAATTGTTTATTTCTCCCAATCATCTTTGTACAGTTTGTTGTTTTCAATTTTTTTCAGATCAAAGTATCTTTTTAAATATACATTATTATATTAATGCTAGTTACCTAAAGTACTTTTATTTCTTAATGGGACCAACATCATTATAAACATTTATTAATAGACCCGTGGCGAATAAATTTTTTAATATTAAACGGGGTGACGAGTTCTTGAAAAGTCACGGATAACCCAGAAGTCAAGGAATTTTGCCCAACCCTGAAAAGCCAGGGAATTTCGGTGCTTAACTTTCAAATTGTTTCGTCACAGCAATGCTTGAATGCCACAATACAAGTAGAATCAAGTTCATGAACGTATTCCTTACGCTTTTTTTCTCCTGTAGCAAACTTCCTTCAAGTTCTCCTATAAACTTTTGCGAAGCTCAGAAAATACAAATTAACAGATTCTGCTGCATGGATCTCTCAAATACTTACTGTTCCTACCAAAGACTTCGGAAATCCTATTTGATATTGGAATCTATGAACCACCCATGGGAAAAAAACCAGGACAAAAAATGATTAACAAAACATGTTGTTTATTTAGTAACACTGCATCTTGAAGCACTTGATGATCCCAACAAACAACTCTGTAATTACAAATAAATATAGAAAATAAATATAAATTTTATTTGATTTCTATGATGAATTACAAAATGGGGCTGCGGAAAATTAAAAATTTTCGATGTGATAACTAAAATAAGTAAGTATTTGCATTTATTATTAGTAATTATTACTTTAAATCATATTAGAGCACTCAGTCAGGTAAGGGTTTTTTAAGTTTTAAAGTTTAGGACCTAATGCTCTGTAGAATGCTTGCGCTGAAAAATAAGACAAGCACAAACTTTCGCCAAAAGCAGGTGGACTCATTTTTGGACCAATGCATAATAAACGACCGATTCCTCTGCAGGTGTATCACTGAGAGCAGAGCCAACTGTACACTTTGAGTTCTGATTTAAGATATCAGGAGATTGAAAATTTTGATTTACACAGTTTTGATTTTCACAGACATTTTGAGCAGCACCTAAAACAACCTTGATAGATTAAGTCCACATGGGAGATTTAAGCTACCTATCTTGAGACGAGGAGCATCTATGAAAGGATTTTGGTAGGATATACTAAAGTTATGACTATAAACCACGAACTAATTCTACAAAATGGAAGCTCCAATACAAGTAGACAGACTTGACATTAGGGTCAACACTCTGAAAATTGCTGAACTACCGTTAATGATGGCCATGACAATGGCACGTAAGAACTACTCAAGACAGTTAAGAGTAAGTGATACAAAGGAACTTGAAATTTTGTAATCAATCCTTCTCAAAGGGGAGAAAAACCATTGAATCCGTAATTTACTAGCAGAGTCAATGAATAAGTCATTCAGCTAACAAGGTGATCTCCTGATCAGGTCAAACAAAACATTTGACTTTGTCCAAATTCATAGTTCTACTGTTTGATAACATTACTTTTAGGATTTCAAATACAATTGATGTAAGCTGTAAGATGAGCGACCACTCAATGCCGTGAATTGTCTGATAACACAAGAAATTCTGAATATTACAGCTCTTGAATCAAGTAATAGGCTGACCTGCGTCTTCTAAACTTGTCTGGATTAAACTGTGAAGACACAGCGCACAAAAATTGCATCAAATGAAAAATTTCAGTTCAGAAAAATTGTACACAACTTGGAAAAATATCTGGCAAATATTAGTTTAATGCACTGTCAGTTGCGCCCTATCAAGAGAAATATTCATGATACAGATGAAAGTAAATGATAATTTTCTAAGAAACGCAAACGAAGATTAACTATACCTGGATTGAATCATTCCTTGTAGAAAAGAACTGAATCGTAGGACAAATATTTTCAGTCTTGAAATGAGTTTCCCTCTGTGATAACGGGTGGACGGGAGGGGGGGGGGCTAAAAAGGAAAAATTATTGATGTGCTGCATAACATCGGTTCCTTCTCAGGAATATAAAGACTATCAGATCTGAGGAAGAAATCCATAATTACATAAGAGGGCCACTAGGACAGTGTTTGTTTCTAATTTTCAAAGGAATTTGTTTGCTGATATGGAAAAATATCATACATCCATCCCGCTTGACATTTTCTTTTGAATTATGCTCCTTAAAAATTCCTAAACAAGGAAATTGATCAAGGAAATCACTTGACATTTTTAGAGTTTTTCTTAGGAAACACCACCGGTGCTTTATCCCAAAATAAATAAAGAGAAATGGGAAGTTATAATCGCCTTCCATTATCTACATATACATTTTTAACAGTTGACTGATGAATGGAGATCCAGGAATATTCCCATCTTGACAGCTTGCTACATCAGTCAAAAACTTATTGTTGATCATAGAACAAAATAATATTCGATTTTTTACTGTAAAAGGATTAATTGGTGCTGGATTAAGGGTATGGGCACTTAAAATAAGAAAACTCTGAGGAAAAAAAAGGACAGTTGGTAAAGTAAGAAGAAAGTTAGATTACTGAGGCGAAAATAAAAAAAGTAATAGGGGTGCACTGAAACATATCCTTGCAGGCCTATCAGGCCCTGAGATTAGTTACAGTTAACAAAATCACTGATAGTAGTATTGGGAATCTATGATGAAAGTACTCAAGAACAACATAAGCTACTGACCTAGGTATTACTAGAATATGAATAATTCTATAGGTGATGATATTAGGTAAACTTGCGATGCATGGTAAAAATGATGAAATCACACCAGAAAGATACTTGTTCAACTTCACCATTCATTTTGAGGCAAACAAGAACACATTATATTCCGTCAGATTTGACTAGAGCTAATGGGTCAATTGAGCATCTCACTTAATCATGTTTGGAAGATAGCAGCTTTTAGGTAAGTAGAAAATAATATTTGTAGGATACATTGGAACACTAAGTTCCACATTGATTGGTACGATGCCCTTCAATAAAACATGGTTAATATATTCCACGTCCAAAGTGCCTACCATGGTTGTTTCAGCTGTAGATAACTATGGAAATTCCAAACCAATCAGATATAGGTGCGAGGAGCAACCACTACAAATGTGTGCATCAGTAATTAATGAGTTGAAGATGGTAGAAACGAAGCAACAAACTACAAAGGTCGGTACAATCAAGCAATCTTTTTTTTGAGGGCTGATATTTTTGTTACTATCGGACACAGAAACTTGGCTCTCGAACAGATTTCATTATTTTACACTAGTACTTATATGTGATAACATGATTCAATCACCAAAACACACTCTGTGACTGGCTTCACCAACCCAAATCTCAAGGATTTCAAATTATAATGATGTTTAAAAGCTCATGAAAATACTTATGTTTGATTTTGTAAAAAAGAATGAAAATGAACAGCTCTTTACTGCGACAAAATCAGGCTAGTATTGTATCATATGCACTAACAATTGACAGCAATGCTATCTGTTAGCAATACTCATATTATCAAGATTTGTTCCAAAGTCTAAGAAAAGGGAGAACTTGGTTAAAAATCAAACTTCACCAGCTTCTTTAGCTATGGCACGATGATAAATACAATCACTGCGCATGACAAAATAGGGGATTCAAATGGTATAGTGAAAACAAATAGAGATTATGTACAAAAAAGGCAAACAAAACATAAAAAACAAACAGGGAGTTATTTGACAACCACCGATTTTATAACACCTCTTTTATAAAAATTCTGGTTGGGCAGCCTCTTGTGCTGGGCAAAAATCTGAGCTAACTAAGTGATGGCTTAGAAAATAATGTGTGCTGTCCTGAACTTCCTGAGAGTTGAAATAACTTATTCCTACTCCTGAATCAAAACACTGACTCCATGCCATTTCCCGCAAGACATGCTTCAGAAATTGAGAAAATAATAGTACCAGACCGTAGCGATTAGAAGTTAAACAATGGAATCCGATCATTTTTACAAACAAGATTGAACATTTTAAATATTTTTTGTTGTTTATTTCTGTCTGACTGTCAAAGAAAAACTCTTTCCCCAACGTATCTATGTGATTTTGAATTGATGCGTCAATTGCTCATTTCCCAGTGTAGAAGGGCCTTTTGGCATAAAAACTTGAGGTGATGGTTCTGACCAAGGTAATTTATTTTTGCTTCGGAGAATCAACTCCAGGGAAGTTGAAAAGTTTTTTTTCCACACTTCATCACTCAAACTGTTCAGTTTTGGAAAGGGATCCAATTTAGCCGTTGTTTTTTATTCTTGATGACAGGAATTCAGGTTGATATTGTAAGTGATTCAACAATCCAAGATGAGAAAAGTCTAGCACAAGGTTTAGGCCCAAAAAAAGCTTACCAGCCAGGCAACATATTCTCCCTTCTTCATTGAATAATCAAAGGGTTTAGACATTCTTTGGATAAGTAAGATTTTGAGAAAAGAAACATAAAGCATCTCTGTTATAAAGAAACCACTACATTGACTGACACTTACTTTTCTTTTTCGCCCGATGAATTTTGCCAGGGATTCCGAAGGTTTCTTGAAATATATTGAAAATAACGTGAACCGCACGAGAAAAACTGTGAAACCTTCACTAAAGGTCCTTGTGTTCCGAAGTCTCTCTTTCGGTGTTGATTGGAAATCTCTTACCATTCCTGCATGTCTCCCGATCACAACCGATTATTTTCCTGATGAAATCTGTTTAAAAACTGATTATGTCTTCTCTGACTATAATCTATTACCTGATGATGTAAACGCAGATTTTGCGCAGCAGAGGTCCTCAGAGAAAAAATCTCTCTCTACCAAAGAAGTTTTTTACGAGCTTGTATCACAACGCTTGGCACAGGGTTTTCAGCTCATCATAGATTCTGAATCTCACATACCAGATCGAGGCAGTGCCGTTATTGGACCTCGGTCCAATGCAGTCTCCCCATCTGTGCAATTCAAGTTGAGTATCGGAAGAGTATTTCATCGAATTGTACTGAATGGATCTGAAATCCGAGTGACACGCTATCGACCCAGGCATCCATATTCTCCATTTGTGATTCATTATCGCTACAGATTTCAAGCACCTGATCACAAAACCTACGGCGTCTCATGGGTGTCTTTTAATACAGAGAAACTAGAAAATTATAATTGGAACTATTTAGACCACTACATTTGTACACGTGGTGATACGGATTTTGCACTAGTTGAGGCTCTAAAATATTGGCGTTTTCGTATATATGTTCTTCCTCTTAGTCAGTTCGCTACCCGTAAAATTTTGGATGGCTCTGAAACGTGTGATCTGTACTCTCCCATAGGCACAGATGAACAACATAGTCTGAAAGAAGGTTTCTTGAAATATATTGAAAATAACGTGAACCGCACGAGAAAAACTGTGAAACCTTCACTAAAGGAAGCGGGACAAGTGTGCGGCGAAAATGTTTAACTCCCGTGATTGGAAAAAAAAAAAAAAAAAAAAAAAAAAAAAAAATCATCGGGCGAAAAAGAAAAGTAAGTGTCAATCACGTAGTTCCCGATTAAGAAACAAAGGATTAGAAACCACTACATTTCAATTGAGGTAGGTAACATATAAAATGATAATCTTGAATTATGTCTGAGCAGAGACACGAGCTCATGGGATTGCCACCGCAAGGGATGTAGAGAAGTCCTCGAATGTTTCATGCTCTTTTCAAGAATCAAACATTTCTAGATACTGTTACCATGAGGCAGCACCATTTACATTGATCCTTTTCATTGTTTCGATGGTGCGATTTATAATTGTGATGAATTTTATCCGTCATTTGAGAGTTTCCTGAATATCTAAGAAGAATTTAATAGATTTTATTGGTATTTTTAAACCTTTAGTCTTTTCAATGACAAATGACTTGACCACTCATTTAGGTGACAAACCATACTAGCCTCTTTCCTTTCAGAATGAGTTTTATTATTTTACAGCTTCAAGCCATTGAATTGTATTAAAAAATATCTAAAGTATGCTGAACAAAAGCAGTCTATTCCCTCTGGGATCACATTTCTTTCGAACTGGGAGGAATTTTAAAAGTCCATATCCCAGTCTTAAAATATTTTTGCCACTAGTTTAAGTCATCCATACCTAGAAACCAAAGCAGAGCTCATGGTTTTGTCTCAGGGATTCTAGGATGACCATCTGTACAAGACAAAAATGAATCGTCCAAAACGAATATACCGTTCAGAAGTTTTGCTGGCGTTTTTTCTTTTGATCCATGGCATCCAGAATCGGTTGTCTTTTTGTTTGATAGCGTCTACGCAGTTCATCAATCTCTCGCTCCATTTCTGCATCCAAACTGGACATTCTTTGTTGAAGATCATCATAACTCAGGAATTTTAGCTGTAAAAAAATAATTTAAAATTGATGAGATGAATGCATGTTTTCAAAACTAGAAATCAATATTAAATTTTGATTCACCTGCATGAAAGACTGGACAGAAAACATTTTTACAGAAGGGTGAGATTGCCAGCTAAAAAAAAGATAAATTGAGATGAATGAAAAAAGAAAAAAAAAAAAGAAAAAAAACATGATTAAATTTTAATTTACCTTTCTTGATCTCACAAAGAGGGTATTTTGATACACTGGACGATCCTGAAGGAATGGACCATTAGATAAGGTACAAATTTAAGCATGATGATCCATGTTTTCTCATAAAACTTCACGTAGAACACGAATTGTGCAAGGAAAATTATTGACAGTAACTTGTAATTCATATATTAAAGTTCCCTGATGCATAAATTCTAACTTCCCACTCATACAAAAAACCATAATCTATTTGCTTTGAATCAGACTCTGAACATCAATTTAACAGTCTCTGCGGTATGAAAATATGAAAATCTCAATCTCAGTGCTATAACTTACTGTTAGCTTACAATGGCTTAGGGGCTTTTAAATGTTTACAAACTTTAAAAACATGCGGCAGAGAAGGAACACTGCTCCGTTGGGAGGCCGGCCAAAGCCACTGTAGTGCAAAATTTGATTCGTGTAGACTCTGGTTCATCTTGTAAGCAGGGAAATCAAATTTTTTGTCATCTATGCGTAATTAAAATGTCAAAATCTTGATTAGAAATTTTTGTTTCACGAATCGTGTTTTACTTGAAATTTTGCAATGGAAACAAATATCACAACGCTGAAATTCTTTCATTGTCTTGTAATCCTTCAGGGTGGCTAGCAAAATTTCATTCTATCATTCCCTGACTTTTCACTGACTTTCAATGAAATTCCCTGACTTTATTACAATAACGTAAGAGCACTTAATTAATGTGGTCAAAACATTGGCAAAACAACGCGATCAGCTGGTCTGCCACTGACCCAATTTTTACATGGAACCTGGCTCACAAAAATTCCGTGACATTTCCCTGATATTTCCTGGTTAAGTAGCATTCCCTGACTTTTTGCAGTTTTCCTGGATAGTAGCAACCCTGTCCATTAAATTTTTGTAGATACACTTGCGAATATATCATTAGTAGATTTAGCTTTGTAGCTGGTAGCATTAGAAAACTACAAAGTGGTTACTAAATCTGAAGAGCCGAGACCTTGATTGAAAGAAGAAAGAGAAATAAAAAATACTTACAAATTCGAAATCACCATCAACGAAAACATTTTGAAATTTTGGTTGGTTTTCAGGAGGAAGTGGAGGGGGAAGATGGTGAGCTGACCTCAACATTTGGCTGCCAGCTGTTTGGCCAGATATTGCTACTAATACTCTTTGTTTTTCTTCCTACAAACAAAAATTTAAAAAAAAAAAAATTGTGACTAAAAAAAATACAGAACAACAAAGTAAGAGTTTTTCACATTATATGCTCATGCTATGAATCTATTTCCTGTGTTATATTGGGTTGACAAGCAAGCACTTACACAATCATTTATCACAAGATAACGCAAAATTTCAGTAACCTGATGTGCCTATATAAAACCTTTTTCATCTACATAAAAACAAATGCAAAAACAGGGAAATACAGCTAAAAATTAAAATGTTAAAAACAACCCTGGACGTTTTGGAGCCATTTAGGCCCTTTTCAACTGGCAAAAGAATCTTGAACCAGCACGTTGTTCAACACTGGAAAATGGTTCATTCCTGTAGTCGATACTAAAATATAAGAACCCTAGTATCGATTGTGGAGCTTATCAAATTATTATTAATTTTACATTACATTATTATTGAAATTAAATGATGAAATAGGGAGAATGACTGAATGTAGTGCACTTGGATGAGCACAAAAAGAAGTTACCTGACTTTGCTGATGCGGGGCTACATTTGTATTATTTACATCATTGATTAGTTGTTGCTTCAGACTTATTGGACTCGTTAAGGTATCCATGGCACCATTATCCTGTAAAAAAGAAAAAAAAAACGATAGGACTTATCTGCAATGTTTTGACAAATAATAAACGAAACTAAAGTCCGTGGATTGGAAAGGTCTGAAACAGCTCTGGGCCTCCGCAATTCTGGAACCATACTCTGGTTTTGTAAAAGAGTGAACCACTTATCAATCTGTCTACCCGCTTTTGCAATGAGAGTGGGACACAAAATAATCGATTCATGGTCACACCAGAGCATGAGACGACCTTCCTTAATTGCAGCTATTCTAAAAAATAGAGCTGAACTTAATCCAATTTTCTTATGCGTACATGAATATGAAAAATTTATTTGAATATTCTAGTGATTTTTTTTTTCTGTGAGAAAGATATAGCAGCGCTAAACCAGTGGAAAAGTATTAAAATTAAAGAAGTTACTTACATTAATTGTCTTAGATTCTTTTTTGTCAAAATGGTCTAAAAACAGAGGTCTATATTTTTTCCCAGATTCGCCAGGTCCCGTGTCATGCCCTGAAAAACAAAGCAGGGAATATTTAGTTGCTGAACGTAGAAGGTGTAAAGCTTTCAATTTCACACTGTTAGGTACGACCACTCTTCAAGGTATGTGTTTAGATGCACTTGACATTGCAAGCTAATTTTAAATCCAACTCTAGAAGAGGCAGAAATGTTTTTTTGAAAGGCATTAAATGGAAAATGTTGTTTCCAAAACAAAGTTTGATTAACATTTTTCCACATTGTTTCGAATCAATGATAATACTTGCTGTTTCAAATAAATGTTTTCAAATGATGTTTCCAATAAGTGTGCCTAAACTTTGTATCCTGAATGTTACAGCCATGACATATGTATTGAAAATATTTTACATTTGGAGACATTCTAATGACAAAACAGGGTGGCGTTGATAAGAGTTCCAAAAGTTTACTCCAATTTGAAAAACCATATAATGTTTTTTTTCGTCTAAAAAAAAATCAAATCCTTTCGCCAGACATTTTAATTTGATTCAGAGCACTGGCACTGACAACTGCAGCCAGAGACTGATTCATGTACTGCTAATGCACTTTCCCTCAAGCTTCATAATATGTGCCATAAATCCTCATTTCAAACGTAAAAACAGATAGCTCTCTTTCTGACTGCAGTTAGACAGTGCAAGTCGGCAATCACATAACTCTTTTGCGGTGTCTGAAAATCTCCGCACCTGTGTTATTTTTATAAAGGAGAGCAAATTGACATCATTCCTTGAAGTTTTGGCAGAAATTTCTTCGCACGGAGAAGAAAAATCATGACAGTTTAAAGAATTGCCATTGAGTAGTTTTCCGGTTAAAAATTAAAGTATGACAAGAATTCTGCGACGTCGCAAACCGAGTTATGTGATTGCCGACCTACACCGCCGAGTTGCTTTTTTCAATTGCTAACTCAATGTACCACTCAGATAATTACTTTTTTTAACATGCATGATGAAAACATGAGACCGTTTTTTTGATGAAAACGTTAGGTAAAGAAAATTTGTAAACGGTCTCTTATTTTGTATTAGGCTGGGACATGCAAAAACGAACTTTGTTTCCATAAAAACACTAATTTGTTTAAAATTTATATTGTATCAGAAAATAGGCTGAGACACTTGCAACTTATTCATTAGGATACTAAACAGTGTTTTTGTTCGTAAATTTGTTATCACAAAAATTTAATTAAGGAAATTCAAATTGTTCAATCCTTCTGGATTAAAATTAATCTCCTAGGAATGAGTCCCTGAACACTACAATCCTTTGTAGACACATATATAAAAATAAGTACACCAGAGCTGAAGGTGCCAGCCTACACTTTTTTAAAAAGTCAAGCTCTTGGTGTCTCAAGAGTTCTCCAAAAATAGTTCCATAGCTGAGAAAAATTTTCTAGCATCATTCAGCGCCGCTTCTGAGATATGAACTTCAAAAATTGCAATTATACTACAATACACGGTGCTGAATGGTATTCCCTAGAAATCTTGATAACTAAAAGGATATTGGGCACCTTTTTGCTAAAAGGCATTGACATAAATATCAGGAAAGAACTGCAACTCAAAGTTATTTGAAAAAAGAAGGAATACAAAAGACTTTTAAATAAATGATTGTAGGGCTGATTTTGAGTAAAATAGAAATATTGCATACTTACTTTTCATTGTTGATTCATCATCAGTATCGCTATTGATGACCATCGTTCCTAACTCTTCAGCTAGCGTGCTCCCTTTGACTAATGTTCCGCCTTTTTCGTTGATGAGCGTTCCTGAGTCAGGCACTAAAGTTTTACTATCCGTATCATCTTCCTGCATTACAAAGTAATAAAAATAATGTAAATACTCCACAGTGGTAACTGAGAGCTTCTTGCTTGCTGGGCATTGGATTGGATACTTCAAGTTTATTTTTATACATACAGTAAACACCAAAAAAAAGAGAAAAAAAAAGAAGAAAAAATTCTGGCTTTCAAAAATCAAAGAGCATATACGTACATATCTGTAAAAACAAGCATGTGTACTTTTGGTATGGGTTTTGCTATAAAAAAAAAAAAAAAAAAAAAAAAAAAAAAAAACACATTAAATGAGATAAAAGCTTCCTTTAGCGAGTTTCTTGAAATTAGAACAACTTCTTGCTTTTCTCAGATTACTTTAATCTGATTTATATTTTCCCAATTTATAAAAAAAATATAAATCAGAAAAAATCTCCTTTAGGCAAATTTCCTAAGCTCGGCACACTGGGTCTCCAGACAAGGTATGAATTAAAGCACCGCGCCACATATTTCCTCTTCAAAATTGCGCAGGAAAAACGAATCACACAATATGAAGTCTGGAAATAACTCTTGAGCAAGATATAAGTGTTTACAATTAACATTGGTTAAATGGCAGAAATACAAAAACCTCATTTGTATAACCTAACTTCCATTTGATCTGTGTTAAAAATACTTATTAGTATCTCAATCAGAAGTTGATTTTCTTAACTTCCTGACATGCGAATTGTTTTCTCCATACAATTTTGAGAAGAAAACAAGATACGTTCATTTCTGGTTCATACCATGTCTAGAGGCCAATTTTGATTTTTTTTAGACTATCTTTTTTCATATCACAACTCTCTTATATCCCTAAATTAACTGTAATCCTCCATATCTGCCGACCTATAACTGTAACTTGGAGTTTGAAATGTCTTCCTGAGCCTACTCAACAAAAAAGAAAATTAACAATAATCAGCTAGATACCTAAGTTGAAGAGTTATCCATATTTGTTACTATAGATCATTCAAAAAATTTAGAGGTTACATTTTGAAATCAAGCTAAAACATAGGTATCATTAAGAATCAAAACTTACCTCTACAAGATTGCTTTTACCCTGCATTGCTGCAACATTATTCCTAAGGCTTTGATTCTCCCGAATTTCTCTTGCTTCTTGAATCATTGTACTCAAAATAGTTGATGCTTTGGCATTACCTGCAATAAAATAGGCATAAAAATTTTACTCTTAGACATAATAAAAAAATAAAGCTAACAATACTCACCTTCGAACAGGGTTTTCGTAACATCTTCATTTCCCAATTCCTAGACTTCTCCCTGACCCCAAAATTTATAAAATCCCTGACTTTGCCCAGGCCTTCGAAAAAAACTTTACTAAGCTTTTTCCATTAATTATGCTGACTTAAGTAAAAATTAGAACACAATCTCAACTTTAGATTCAAATTATGGTGAAAGAACGATCAGATGGCACCAGTTGAAGTTGCTGAGCTGACACCCTACTCATAAAATTCCCTGACTTTTTCATGTTGCCACATATTATCTGACTTACAAGGTTTTCCAGATCGCTAAAAACCCTGTGATTGTGAATAAATCATTGATCATTTGCCATGAGTGAAGCTGTCTGGAACAAGAATGAGAGTTTGAAAGATTTGTTGCTACGCAACAATATCATTATAAAGAACGCATTTTCTATGTTCACCCGAGGTGTTTTTACACCTTCAAAAATTTTAATGTATAATGGTACACGGAAAAGGAGAATCATGTGATTGACATAGTTTCGGATAAAATTTTAATTAAAACTAAGGACTAAAAATCATTCATTGAAGACCAGCATATTCATTGCGCTACTCTACGATGGAGGCATTGTCTGCAGGTCCTCCGAGGAATCAATCTTGGAGTACTAGTTACATACATACATAACCAGGCAAGAAGTGATAGAGTCATTGTAGTTAGGGGGATCCATGGTTTTAAGCGTTTATTTCTTACCGATGAATTCATGCTGTAACATTTGACTGGCGGTAGCTCTCTCCTCAGGATTCTTTATTAGGCACTGACTGACAAAATCAATGAATTCTGGGCTCCATTGGTCTGGCTCGCGAAATGATGGGGGAGGTTTTGTAGGTATCATGAAGATAGCCCGCATTGGATGGATGTCACCATATGGTGGCTTGCCTTCTGCCATTTCTAAAGCTGTTATACCTGGAACAAAAAGAGGAAAAAAAAAATTGATGATGTTTGCAACTGCATTGTTTCCACTTGATTGCAATTCATATAAAAGAAAAGATATCCATAGATAAAGAATATACACGGATGGAGATTTGACGCAAAAGATGATTGAATTTAAGATTTATAAAAGATTCTCACTTTTGTAAATTTTACCTCGATTTACATAATTGTACTTAGGATATCTTGGGATGCGCTTTTTTGACAGTCATGGAGGCTGAAAGTGAAATGTATCTTTCATTCAATTTTCTGAGATGTTACTGATAAGTTGGAGGTCTTTCACTCACCTAAACTCCACATATCTGCTACACAGTCATACCCAATTTCTTGAATGACTTCAGGAGCCATCCAAAATGGAGTTCCTATGACAGTATTCCGTTTCGCCATGGTATCCTAAAAAAGGAGAAAAATGAAGAGTAAAGCACTGATATTCATTTTAATGTTTATTAAGTATCAAAGGATAAAAACCTTATCTGTAATATGTATATATAACAACTGCAAGAGTTAATTTGCAGATTCTTAGAGGATAGGTAGTAAAACTAAAGCAGTATAGAATATTTCGTTCATGGTCAAAGGTAACCTAATTTGAATACAGGTTGATAACAAGCAAAAAAATATTTCATACTGTAAGCTGTCCAGCTACACCAAAGTCAGCTAGTTTTGCATGCCCTTCAGAGTTCAGGAGAATGTTGCCAGCTTTGATGTCTCTGTGGATTTTCCGTCGTAAATGCAGGTACTCTAAGCCTTTTAGTGTATCTGATAGAATTGTCGCAATTTCGTCCTCAGACAGCGTTTTTTTACGTAGCCGCATTATGTCTGATACTGAACCAGCACCACAATACTCCATTACAATCTAAAACATGATGAGAACAAGAGAGGCGATCAGTAAAAAATCAAAATAGACTTACTTAAGAGGGTAAATTTTGTACTAGAGAAGTAAAACTCAGCTCTTTGTTTGAGCAATACATTCTTAAAAACTCCATTTCTGCAGAGTCTGAAGAACATCTGAAATTCACACCCATCTATGAGAGCTAAATTCTTTGAAGAACTCTTGTTCTTTGTGACAGTTAATTAGTAAGCTTATTATAAGCAGAGAAAGTAAGGGAATTCAAATAAGATTTTAAACATGAATATTTGTCTTATCTCTTCTTTTGTAAATCTCTCTGAAGTTCAGGTGAATCATCCTTACTTATCAATAGGTCTGTTATTTTTCACAGGGATGTAAATAATTCCTTACTTCCAAACATTATACGCCATCTGGAATTTTTCCCTTTCTCACTTTTGGAAAGATTTCCTTACTGTCCCAAATTTTCCAGAGAGGTGACTTTCCTCTGTCCTAATTTGTTTGTTGTTTTCCACTTTTAAAAATTTCCTCAAGAAACTAATTTTTCAGGGTAGAAGGATTATTGGTATCAATTCATAAAAATCATTGTAAAATTTGGATCCTAAGTTCCGCATGGAAACAGTCTTTCCTGAGGTACAGGTTTTCTGTGTTTTGCAAATACAGGAAAGCGAATTGATTTTTGATCTAAATAAACAAATCAAAGAAAAAACTTCAGGAGGCACTCACCCATAGATCAGTGTTTTTAAAATAAGAGCCATAATATTTTACTACATAAGGACTATCACATTGCTGCATTATTGAGATCTCCTTGATTATTTCCTGCAAGTCGGTGTCAACAGGTACTTGCTTGATCGCAAGGACCTGCCCCGATTCTTTGTGAAGAGCTTTGTAGACACTTCCATAGGATCCTTCCCCGAGCTTGCAAATGATATCAAATACCTCTTCTGGCTGTCGAGTCAAGCTCTCTTCCGACAGCTTCTTCAACTCACTGCAAAAGAACAGGGAAAACAAAGTCAATAGATTGAAAAAAAAGTACATCGCAAATCATACAAATTTGAAGATGATGGTTGAGGATGGTTCAGATTTTAATCAAAATCATTGGACGACGGATAAAGCTTTAAATTTTATGTTGTGAGCAGAGTGCTTTGGTTTTTTATTTAATTGCATTTAAAATTGTTTCTATTCGGATGTTTATTTTCTCGACAACACAAGGGCAAAATCATCATTTATGCACAGGTTTCATGAGACGTGGCCAGCGTAAAAATGACTGATATATTTTTACATGAAAGTAAATTAGAACTACAAAAATTTCGTTTTGTTTCTTCACCTGGAGCTTGTCCTTCAAATCTAAAAAAAAGATGGCTAAAATCATAATAAAAAAAAATAAGAAACTAGCAAAGAAAATTACGTACCCTGGATTATCAATATCATCAGTACTAAGTGGATTTGAAACAACTTTAGCTCGTCGAGCTTTACAAGTTGCACAATCCGGCAGGGGAACTTCAGAGTTGAAAACAAGTCCCTTTTTGAACACCAGTGTGCAACTGCCATCCATCATTTACACTTTGTTACACAAGATTTGGAGAAAATACTAATACATCCTTGTTACACTTTAATTGACTTTGGAAGCAATACTTCTTCAGAAAGAAAAGTCATTTTGAGAAAGAAAAAGAAAGCTTTCAAGAATATTGTATTTTAACACATGGACAGCCTGGACAAATGTCAAAAGATGGGCACCTTTATTTTCACATGAGCTGTGTACCAGATGTAGTACTAAAAAATATACTTTTTTCAATAACTATTAAACTTGAATTTTTAGAAAATCTTAGATTAAGTGTTTGAATGCAGTATTATCATCATGGGCACACTTTGATTGTTTCATTTATGATTAAACACTAAAAATGGTGTGATAGTTTGGCATTTCGGAATAGGTAAATACTCCGTATAGTAAAAGAAAGACTGATTAGAGACAAAGATGGAAAATATAAAAATAACTCAGGGTTGTCAAATTTAGGGGACATGGACTAGGTCTCAGAGGAACATCTGTTTCTTCACCACTACTTTGACAACACTAAAATAGACGCCACATGAAGATACTACACATTTACTGGCCAGACTCCAAGAAATGAGCTATGAAGATTCTCCTTCTCTCTTCCAGTGACGAAGAGGGCGAGAAGGGGGGGGGGAGGGCTGACTAGAGGAGTTTGGCAAATCAAGAAATTTGCCAGTCAAAAGATACAGTAATTTTAAAAATTTTCAAGAAATTAATCTTCTTTTCAATGTGGCTTACGAAAGAAGATCAAGAGGAAGGGGGAAGATTCTGGCAATTCCTCACTTTCCTTGTCCTTAACTATTTTGTGCCTATTTTTTATATTCTTGAAAATTGATTAAATTTCCTGATAGATTCTTTATATAAATTTCGAGAATTATTTTCAGTAAGGATCTCCTAAAGATACCAGTGTGGACTTGTCTCTTTTCTGCCGTGCCAAGGAAAAACGTTGTATGAGCATTTGGATGTTGCCAAATTTCCTGTTGGGCAATAGTTATTCTTGAAGAAAGTTTTGAATGTGTTTTTTATTGAAATTTTCAGACACTTTAGATCAAATTACAAACAAGATTCTCTGCAAAATCGGAAAAAAAATATTTTTCAGAAGAAATTTGGCACCATTTGAAATCTCATACAGCATTCTTTCTGATGCAGCAATCAGATGCTGAATGTGGGAGCTGAATGTGGCTTGAATGTGGAAGTCATCAGCCCGATGCCTGAATTTAGCGTGTGTCGCGCAAAATTCAGCAACAATTCTCATCGACCATCGGATGATGTCGGATTTGTCTGAACTATTCGAATAGATTTGCTACACATCTGGACGAAAATAACTCGAATCTGCAAAATTTCAGCTGTTGAGTCATAACTGTTGACTTCCATATTCAGCTGCCAAATTCAGCGTGTGATTCTGCCATCGGTAAGGCAGAATTGACTTCAGATTTCTGACAAAAACTCAAGGGCAGACATCTGTAAGCAAAAGCTTCCTGCTTAAATTTCGATTCTCCTTTTACCCATGACATGTCTTTCTGATCTTTAAAAAGGCATATTCATCTTTATAGATCTCTAGATGTGATAGTGATAAAGTTATACGATGAATGACCATTAAATGAATCTGAAATAAGGAACACTTTTTGCCAAATTGAAGAGATGGATGCAAAAATGACACCTCTCTGTTAAAGTGTTTTGGAATCGCCACCAACATTTCTTTTTTTGTGAACACACAGAGTTACATGACACCGACCTTACAAAATCTGTGGTTCTTCAGTGTACCTATCCATACTTTTTCTGTGAAGTAGGTATTCTGATCTTAGCACTCACAGCGAGACATTTGCTTCGTCTGAACTGACAACCTTAAAACTTTTAGTTTCTATCTGTTCAGGGTACGACTTTTCCTCATATTACATGATTCTCTTTCTATTTTCCACAATCCAGCCCTTTTAGATTTGCTTTGATAAGTCCTGTCTACGAAGAGATAATTTCAATATTTGGCCTGCAGATTCAGGTGAGTCATTTTTATACATTTAAGTACAAGCTGACACAAGCAGCTGAATAATTGACAGTCATATAAAACTGTAGGGCCAACTATTCTGGGGAGGTCATACTATCAAGCAAGTGTTCAAACGAGCACTCACATTTAGTGGTGAATGTGTCCTGGATAAAATATTTAATAACTCGCTTATGCACACATTGAAATTGGATGCATCCTTACTCACAATCACAGTTCGGCAATTCAAAAGACATCCTGGATAAACAGCACCATTATCGTCTCTTTGTGCTTGAGAAGTGGAAGGGCCGAGCGAACACTGGTAGTTAGTTTCAATGACGCATTTCACATTGAAATAATGTACCAATTTGTTATTCTAATTAATTAATCACCACCAAATCCCTAAGCAAAATGTGCGATGGATCCTTGGACAAAATTTAGGAAAAGATATCCATGAACACAAGACTGATAAAATCCGGTGCAACAGAGTATAAGATCTTCAACTGAAGTGCCCCATTCGTATCAGAAGCTTCGGTCCTACAAGTGCTGATAGACGAAGCGAAGGCCCACAACCGGTGATGTTCATTGAAGTCACTGATTGCTTACTGATTTCAAGATAGTATGAAGAGCAAAGCACTAAGTCATTGTAAATAGAATGAAAGCCTCTGTATGTGCGAAGCATCGTGAAAGTAGGCTACTCTCAAGAGGCACTGAGCTCATCTGGCGCTTCGGGTCAGGATTACATACTGCCCAAGTAATAAGGATAAAAGTGGATTAGTTATATTAAAAATGACCAATTGAATATGAGTTTGAAAGAAACATATACTCATTTCAGGAAATGAGCTAAAACTGAGACCTTGGATAAAGCTAAGACTGAGGTTAACAAGATAGTTAATTTCTCGAGGACAAACCTTTTGGAAGACATGGTAGATGAGTCGGCTGCCTCTAAAAATACCATAAATGAGCTGTTAACTACAATTACAGTTGAGAAAACGATAGTTTAAACCAATTGCATTGATTGTAAAACTTAATCATTATCAATGCAGGTAGTCAGCACTATCCGAAAGCGGTTCAGTGTGCACTTTACAAAATAATGTCTGCGGTTATCGAAAATCCATCAATCATCCTATCCTTATCACACTCATCCTCCTATGTAGCTGTTGACTGGCGTCGTTCGGCAGGGCTTTTGCGGTAGCGCGTAATCACGGCAAAAAGCAAAATCTTGCATCCAAACAAAGCATAAAGTGATAAGCGCTTTATGGAGGATTTATGGCAAGCTGTGTTTTTGTGCGCTCTCTAGCGGAAAGTAGGAAGAAACTGAACCATGACGTATTGTTTTCGTCATACGCCGTGCACAGATTCTCTTATCAACTGCGTTAGTTCGAAATTAAGACGGGCTAGGTTTGGGCCGCTCCGAGAAGTTCGCGGAGCTTTCGGTGAATTTTTCGCAATTTTATCGGGTGCAAGTTTGGGCGCAGTGCTTCCGTCTCTTCTCCTTCTCAAAGTGCATCGTAAATTTTTCGCGTCAGTGCTTATCAGCTGATCGTTTTTGAAGTGCTTGCTCACGGATATCTCTTGTTACACTTTTGAGTTGTTCTACTCCAGCTCGAGCTCGAGGAGTGATCAGGAAATTGTTTGGTGTGCAGATTTGCTGTGTTTCAAAGGAAAATTTCACCTGCGCTCACTGGATCTTGAACTTGCGCCTTATTTCAGGTTGGTAGATTCCGGTTATCCAATGTTTCATCTGGGCAGTGGCTACGTATGCGTGCGTGCGTGTATGTAAGACTATCTTTGTCAATGACCTTTGATAACAGTATTGTGTGTAAAGTGGATGTAGGTCACTTCTGTATTTAGGTTAGGAAAGTATTATTGTTTATCTGTCTTTCGATTTTCTAACTGCACCTAATGCAGTTTACCTTGGATCAGCTTTTATCGTTGAAAGATTTAATACCTAGGTATTCATCTGAATCATTATTTGCTGCCAGACTGACTTATCAAATACTGCTAAGTTGTCAAACAGATTAAGCGGCTGTCTAAGTGTTTTTTCTTTTTTCTTCGCAACAACTGTGACTACTCAGGTACTTACCTCTACCAGATTTTTTTCTTCCGGCAGCCAGTGTCAAGCCTGCAGCTTGCTGTGAGGATGATTCATTTTGCTCTCTGTGATATTTTAGCTTCTCATGTCAAACATCGCCATGATAATTCACCTCCTGAATGATAAAGTTTACTTCCTCTCCTCTCAAACACCTCTGTTTCTGTCAATCAGGGTTGGTTCTAAGTAGCTAGGAACAAAGGTAACTAAAATGTGTCCCACTCTCGCCTGTGCAATAATTTATCCAATATCAAGGCTAATACCCAGTAATTTTTACCACTGTTGATGGTAATGATACAATTACCAGCATAATTCCTCATATCTCTGTTAAAAAAAATAAACTGATATTCTATATTCCATTTGTAATGAGATTTCAGTCGCATGAGCATTGCTGAAGGTATTTGGCAAGAAATAAAAAATTTTAAGATTTTTGCGGATAAGTTTGCCCTTCTTGCACTGAATTGCCCCGTACTTACCTACTTTCATCTTTAACAATATCATGACAGTCAACTACATGTCTGATGATAACACAATGAATCATAGTTTGTGCCCTTACTTAGTCATGGTTTTTATCATTAGGAAGCACCCTGCGTCAAAAGCGATGGCTTGGAACTCATGCTTTTTTTCCAGTGCATGAGGCAGATCTTCAAATAATTACACAAACATGTTTAAGGAGAAATTTTTCTGGAATTGGAATGCAGCAAACAGAGAGAAACCAAGCCACATTAGCTGTTGCCAAATTGAAATGGGCTATTCAAATTTTTATGTGAAAAAGGTTGTGCGGATTTTTGTGCAAATTTCTGTGAAATTTCTCCATAGTACGAAGCAAATTCCTTTAAATTTTTCAAGGAATCCACACAAAAATTCTCTGGTAAAAAATTAAATTCCCTCGTAAAATTTGGCAACAGCTGATGTGGCTTGGTTCCTTTCTGTTAAACGTGGTCCAATTGTACGGTTGCATCATGCATTCACCCTTTAAGAATAATTTAGGTCGAAAACCTAATTTCTGATTCGTTTATCACCACATCCTTCTTCAAATAATGCGTTCCACTGCAAAACCATAAATTTTCGAAATTTTCATCAAGAAAAAAGAAAAAGAAAAAAACCGTTCATTGATTTTTTATCTCAGACTTTTCACAATTTTTTTCTTTTTGTGCATCCGAAGGAACTACCTACTAGGTCCAGAATTTATTAGCGTCACTATTCAATCACAAACGTCGGGGGTTGCACAATTCTGGCGATTTTAACACACGTGCCAGGGTCACGCACTTAATGTCAACTTGTGGGAAGGGGGGGGGGATTTAGTATCTTAACAGTCTTCCTTCGCTCTTACAAGAAGCCACTTGTCACGTGTTTTATCACCGTAGTGCTCTTATAGCAAAAGGATTCATGTTTCACTTGGCTGCTCAAAAGTCCGACCCTCCACTGGTTGTAATGGTTATGATAATTGGTGCAATTTCATGATTTTTATCTTTATTGCCCTCTACAAGAAAATAATCCACCATTGAACGTGTCCTCCAGAAAACATGATGAGCGCAGCTAAACTAGTATCTGAGCTATATCGGTGCATGTGCACCTTTGTGAGGCGAGTCTACATCGAAAGTTAACTAACATCGAGTCACCGGAAAATTCCCGAAATACCTAAGCACTGATCTGTCTTTTTAAGTTTTATCCCAAGCCAGAGCGATTACTCTTGGAAGCGCTCGTCTCAGTCAAACTCCTCATTAACTCCTCTCGAAAAATCCCGCTCATGTATCCAAAACCAAAGCTGAAAGTGTCCGCACGCGAAGTATTGCATTTGCTTTCATCGCATCGAACGGGTTTTTCGCGTTGAGAAACTTCCAACTTTATTAGGTATAAGATTTCCACAAGAGATTTGCAAGGAACTATCGTCGGCTCATATGTGCTTTCACGTCCGCGCAATCACCCCAATTCTAAGTAAAAACTCGTGAAAGAAAGCAGTATGAATTTCTGTAAAATCCTATTCCATTTTCTCAAAAATTGGATTACATTTTGCAATGAGGAACCACTATTTTTTGTTCATTTCAGAAACAACATACGTGTCATTTGTTTCCCTATGCAGAAAGGTGCTTTTATAGAAGAGCGATAGATAGTAGCTTATTGCAAAATGTAATCCTTCGAGTCCCTGCTCACCCCAGTGAGACGCGGCAGTAACTGCACCTGGGGTTTTAAGCTCGCTCATTCGTGTCGCTCGTCTATCAGTGGTCGGACCAGACAGCTGCCCGACGAGCTTTTTAGAGTATTTAGCTTTCCCACCTTGCAGCGAGCATGTCAATCGCGAATTTTCGCAGTTCCCGAGGCCGATGTCTCAGTCGGCCGCACAGTGGATCGAGTCAATTAGAGAGGTCGGATTTGAACTTTTTGACTAAAACTGCAGATTTTCATGTTTATTTCGTCACATTTTAAATTTCAGGGGGGGCTTCTGGTAGAAAATGTCACGAGAAAACCAACGTAACCATTTTAGAACCTCAAAGTTTTGTATAAACGGAGTTTAAGTTTTTTCTTCTTCTCTGTTGCTAATGATTGTAAAATATCTTCTTTACATCCATTTATTTAATATATTTACTTAAGTACTGTTTATGAGTACAGCACTTGAATATTATTAACTATATTCTTTTCTTAATATATCTTATTCTACCTCTTCTTCTCTATTGAACTATATATCCTGGTAAAAATTGGCGATAAGAGCTGCGTTTCAAAATACCATAGGAATTCTTATAGCCGGCTGAAGAAGGCCACAGAAAATTATAGAGCTGGCTGTAGAATGCGGAGAAAATCATACGGCGGGCTGTACGAAGCGATAAAAAATTGTGCAGCCGGGCTATAGTTCCTATAGCCGGGCTTTACACTATATCGCCTGGCTGTTGCTTTTTCGTCATCGATTAGAAAAGGCTATGAGAAATTGTGTAGAAATTCGTGTGCTTTGGAAATCATTAAGGTTGATACGGAACCACCTTCATATTTACAAAACACACGTTATATTTTCCTTTAATACATATTTTGTTTCATCAATTAAAACAAGAATAATCCATTCAGGATGTGCAAACATTTCAAAATCATGAGTTGAATAACGCTGACTCCGCCAGAATAAATATTAGAGCCTAACACAAAGCGGAGCGGCGACGCACTGGCGCCTACAAACCTAACAGGGATACTTCACGCATTGCGCAACGCGTGAAGTATCCCTGTTAGGTTTGTAGGCGCCAATGCGCGTTTCGCGCTGGCTGCCCGCCTGCCGCACCGCGGCTTGCCACGGCGCTTGAAGCAACTATTTCACACCAGAGGTATTGCACAGTATCATACGAAACTGAAGGCGCTCTAATATATTAGGGATGGCAGGCATCCATCAAAAGTACGGAGCTTTCCTCGCAAATTAAATCAAGATACTACGGCCCAAAAAGAGAGCAGTGGTCCAAAAACTCACTAAGTCCTAGCATCCGTAATTAGTGACGTTTAGCATACACTTTATCGCCTGGCTGTGAGTTGCTTAGTCGCCATCGGGTATAAAAGGCTATAAGAAATTGTGTAGGCTGTAGAAGCTATTGGAAATCTTACAGCCGGCCGTAGGTCTATGGTACTTAGGAACACAGATTCTACTGCCAATTTTTACCAGGGTATGTAAGCGTTTGAAGTTTCCAAATTTTGTCAGACTTCTCCTAGTGACTTGACCCATTGTGGGCCGGTGCGGTAGAACCTCGGAACGCATCGTTGCAAGGTCTATCTATTAGAGGACTTTGGCGGTTAGAGTTCAGCGATATCGGGAGCTACGTCGTCAGTCTGTTTCCACGAAAAAAATCTAGGCCTAATTTTGGCATGTTTTCGACACGGTTAACCGACTGAACCCCTACTCCACAACCCCCCCCCCCTTTCCCGCTCGTAAAAGCGTGAATGACGAACGCGAGCCTCCAGATAAACTTCCAAGTTCAGCCGGCTTCCTTACGAGATATTTTATGCTTTTATTGCGCCGATAATTGTTCCTTTCCTCTCGCTTCCCTTCAATTGTCAGACAGAGACCTTCAAAACTTGAAGAAGCACGGTGGCGTTTTTCGACACGGTTTTTGACGGATCTGCGAGCTTTGATTCAGGATTTCACTAACACGTGCGCTTACAGTCAATTTCAACAAATTTAAGACATTTTCACGAAAGCTATTCTGAAAAAAGTGATTTTTTATATATTCACCAGACTATTTAAGGCACAGCAATCCAGCCTGCAGCTTATTTCATTAGCTTCCTAATGAGCACTTGAGTATTGAACTATATATGTATCAAGTCGCTACCTCAGCGCACTAGAGCGCTCTGCGACTCCAAATCGCCATCGGGATCGATCCTCCCACGAATCATAGGGCAGACTACACGATCCTGCGAACCCCAGCTGGTAGCCCCTGCTTCAAAGGGGGCTTGGAGTTGGTCACCGGCTCTCAGGCGTAGGAATCACCCAAGAGAAGGGCAGACAGGGCTCTTAGCTGCAGTGAAAGCAACCTGTCTAGGAGAGGCTACTACGAAATCACACTCTGGTCCTCCAGGTCGGAGGTTGAGGCATCGGGCTGACTCCTCGATACTCATAAAAAGTACATTGTCAAAAACCCCAAATCGAGCACTT